TTATTAGTATTTAAGAAAGATAATCTAAATAATTAATCTTATAAAAATTATTATTGAATTAATAATGAAACAATCAAAGATATATATTCAATATTAAAAGCTTAAGAACTTAAAGATAAATTGAATAAAATAATAATCTATACGAAATTAGATCAAAGAAATACTTTCAATTTGATATAAATAAAAGAAAATTATAAATAGAAAATAACCTTTATTTTATCATTGGGTTTATAAGAATATATAATTATACTATTCAGGCTAATTAATATATTAGTTATATATCAATAACAAAACAATGAAATATTCAAAGAATTCAATTTGTTTATAATCTATTATCTGAATAATATCCTAATCTTCTTTCAAAAAGAGAAGAAATATAAAGGATATATATTGAAAATACTCGAAATATTCAAAAAAATAGATTCAAGATTCAAATTATCGAAATACAAATTTGAAATACAAAAGATAACATTTCTAGAATATATTATTCAATCAAAACAAATGAATATAGATCCTAAAAAAACAAAGAAAATAAAAAACTAAAAACGATTCAAGAATATCAAGGATATACAATCTATATTAGAATTCATCAATTTCTATCGAATATTTATAAAAAACTTCTCGAAAATGATAGAACCCTTTACCAAAATAACCAAAAAAGGAATAACTTTTATATAGAATAAAAAGATAAAATAGATTTTCCGGAAAATCAAGAATAGATTTATAAGAGAATCTATCCTTTACAATTATTATAATAATCGAGAAAGTATTATCGAAATAAACGTTTTTGATATTTATATAACAGGAATCCATTTATAAAAAAACAATAATAAGAAATTACATTTTATCATCTATTATTCAAACAAAATAAACAAAACAAAACAGAATTATAATATTTATAAAAAGGAACTTATAGTTATTATAAAAATATTAAAACATTAAAAGATCTATCTTCAAAGAACTAAATTCCTAATAATCATTTATATCAATTATATAAATCTTCGAACCTTTATTACTATTAAAATCTTGAATAATTATAGATTGATTAAATAGATTGAAGAACTAATAAAATTTGATTTGATAATCAAATATATCAAAAGAAAAAATAATACAAAAGCAGATACTTTAAACAAACTATTAAATTACAAAGATAATAAAACCTATCAGAAAACAACGATTTTGAAATCTTTACCAAATAAAGATCTTATCCTTAATCTAATAGAAATCATCATTATAAAAAATAAATTAACAAAGATCTAAAAAAATAAACTTGTAAAAATACAACAAAATAAAAAAAACATCAAATAATCAAAACCATCAATAATTATTAAAGGATTATTTCGAATAAGAAATAAAATATAATTACTAAATAATATTACCCTTAAATATATTACAAAACAATATATATTGTTAACTTATAAACACTAAGAAATATAAAGAATATATCTAAGAATCAAAAGACAATATTAAAGTCCAGAACTTTGTAATATAATCAATAAAGTAATTATTGAATATAATACTTATATTAAAAATAAAACTTCTTATTATACTCCTTATAAATAAATAAATACTATCGAAATATTATCTATATTATAAAAATCAATATCATAAGACTTTATAAATCCATTACCAAAATCTAAAAATCTAATAATAAAAATAATATACAATTACCTTCTTATTATAATAAATAAACTAATGAAATATCTAATACTTATATTATACTAGATAATATTAATTATAGAAATACTAATCTCAATATTCTTAAAAGAGATTATTACAATATATAGATTATTAAAAAAAATACTTTTTGATAAAAATAAACTCTTTATATCGAAATTTTGGATTATTCTAATAATATTATTAAAAATAAAGAGAAAAATATTCATTATATTCTATTTACAAATCAATAAAGAAAATAAGAAAATAAACCAAATTGTTAAAGTTTATCTTCAATATTATATAAATTACTAATAAAACAATTAAATAGAACTTTTACTTTTAATATAATTCGTATATAACAATTTAGTATCAAAAGTAATATAAATCATTTTGAATTATATTAATTATAAGTACGAACTAATTGTATATTACAAATCAAGGATCACAAAAATAAAAAATCAATTTGTAATAATATAAATAGAAAGATTCAAAGAAGTCTATAAGAAAATGATAACAAAATTGAAATTCATTATTAAAAGAAATAAATATTATTATAATCGAAAATATAATTAAAAATCAATATTAAAAAAAAGGAATAAAATTTACTTATTTCGAAAAAATATCGAAATAAAAAGATCTAATACAAAATTGGATTATAAGAAATTCGGATTATTCAAAATCAAAAAAGATAAAGGATTTTTGAATTATGAATTGATATTATCAAAAAGTATAAATATATATCCAATGTTCTATATATCTCTATTCGAATTAGTATTTCCAAAAGTATCTAAAGTTCCTAAAACAGAAATCATATCTACAAATCAAAATATTGAATACAAAATGAAAAAGATATTAGATTGTAAATATATTAAAGACAAAATCAAATATTTAATAAAATAGAAAAATTACTTTGATTCTGAAAATATATAGGAATTTGAGAAAGAGATTAAATATCTGAAAAGGTTCTAGAAATTTCATCAATAAAATCTAGATTTATTCAAAAGGAAAAAGAATTCATTGCTTTTTGTAAAAAGGAATCGAAAAAATCGAATTCGTTTGTAGGAATTTCGTTAGGATTGATAAAGTCAATTGATAATTGATCAAATCGATCAGGGGTTAATTAACCAAATTGATCAAATTGATCAGAAGATAATAGAAGGGTTACAGGAATTTCTTTATTCTTTTCTTTTTGTTTCTTTTTTTCGAAAGTATCAAATTCATTAAGGTATTTGAGTTTGTAATATAATATTTCATTATATTGTTTTTTGAGTTATATTTTCTGTTTAACAAAACGAACAATCTTAATAGAAGATTTAATGATTTCAATATCCAATTTATTGATTTGTTGATCAAGATTCTCCTAATTATACTTTCGAGGAATTTCATGATCCTAATTATTTTCTAAACGAAACTTAATATTATATAAAACAGAATTTTATATATATTTCGAATAATATAAACGATGTTTATCAAAGAGATTCTTAATACAATAATAATTTTTTTGTTGATAATGAGAATAAGAAATCATTTCAATATTAATAAAATCGATAATTATAATTAAATGTATATATTTCTTTTTCTTTTTTCGAATTAAACTATTGAAAGAATTAAAATTGTTTATAATAAAGAAAGAAAGATAGATAGAATATAAAAGAAGAAAAAACATTAATTATTAAATAAAACTCAAAGAATTATAAACAATTAGAATAATATTTAATTAAAAAGAGGATAATGTTATAATTTACAATTAAAATAAAGATATATTGAGAAGCAGTAATCAATATATTTATATGAGTTTAGGTCTTATCGAAAAGCAAGACGATTTGTATATAAATTTGTATAATAATCGTTTTATATAATCTTTTTATCTTTAATAAGTTCGGATATATAGTCTGATCCTAATTATATAATAAGAAGCTTCTTGGAGTTTTAAAGTTTTACAAAGCTTCTTTATATTTATTAATATATAATTAGAATAGTTTTATAATTTAAAAGCTTTGTATTTAACTTAGTTATCAATTAGTTTATTTATATTCCAATTGATCTTATAATGTATTCATTTTCGAATAGATAATCAATGATTATTAGCCTTAACTTACAACTACCAATTATACGAAAACCTGAGGCAGCCGCTGTCTCGATCAGATCGTTACAATTATAAGAAAATCAATTATCTTAATAATAAATATATTATAATATATATTATATATAATCAAAATTATACTTCTAAAATAATACTTTATATAAAATCTAATACTTTTTAAATTTTATTTATTTATATAAGTACTTCTCTTTATTTTTTTAAAAAGTAAAAGATATTATAAAGAATTTTCATCTCTTACACACTTTTAAATCTTCTTTTATATAATATATCTTTTAAATATTTAAATAATAAAAAATAAAATCATTATAAAGATTTAAATTCGAATTTTTATCTCTATTTATAAATAATAATTATTTATATAATAAAAACATTATATTAAAGAAAACCTTAATATAATACTATTTTATATTCTCTTTTTCTATTAAAAATAATAATATCTTTAAAAAAAGATTTTTATATCTCTATAATAAAGATTTGATATAAATAAAAATCGATTTTTTAAAAATATAATTTTGTTTTTTTGTTATTCCTCATCTAATATATTAATATTACATTCAACTGTTAATTATTAAAAATAAAATGATTAAAAATGATTAATAATCGAAGTGATTATAATGTCACTTTTACCGGATTTGGAATATCTGTACTTCTTACTCGTGCAGCCAGAAAGTATATGACTATCCACTTTTAAGCACATACCACAGAATGATAAAATACAAAGGAATAGTGGCCCATATTTAAGTGGATAGCCATATACTTCCTGGCCACACGAGTACGTACACCGTATATTGTTCTTTATAGTCCGAGAGTCCGGTTTTTGGATAGTTGCCTGCCTAACTAATCTATATATATAGTGTACTTCATCTACAAATTTAAAGACCCTTCAAGAACTTAGGGACTTTCAACTTCCTAGGTGGTTTGACTGGAGGTGGTGCAGGTTGGGTAAACTGCTCAGATTGTCCTTTACCCTCATTTCAGGAAGTATCTGTATGTTTCGCACAGGAAGTATTCGGTGATTACTTGAAAGGTTAAGTTGTGCCAAACGCTAACGTGTAAGCCTCGTATATAATCCTGCGAGATCCTGCTGGTGAAAGTAGCTTTGACTAGGGTTCATACGTTTATACTAGGTTCAGTGATTACTTATGTTAGTGCTTACAGCTTATGACGGCTTATCGCCGAACTTGCCACCTTGAACTCGCTTGAAGAAACAATGCAGAAAAAGTTCAAATTCAAATCTAGCAAGGTAGAAAATGCGAAGTAGTGAATTGGTTTGAACATAAGACTACAAGAATATAAGACTATATAATTAACCCAAGGCTATGTGAGCTTCGACACCAGTTTTTCGCATAGTGTAATGAGCGAAGTGGCATTAGTAATGTCAAGCGTTGTCAATTCGGCGCCAAGCTCGATACGAATCCAATTCCGCAGCTCGACTGCTGCAAGTGAATCCAACCCATATGATAACAAGGGTTTGGCCGTCTCCATTTCGCTTTCCAACCGTAAGATTTTGGTGAACTGTACCGCTATCACTTCCACGCATGTTTTGGTTAACGATACCTTATCAGCTCCTAATTTGCGCATCATGCGGAATGCTTCTATTGTCTCATCGTCCTGGCTGGTTGGTCTATCTCTGTTTCCTGCCCCATCGGCCCCTCTTTGAAAGAGATAGCCAAATCTTCCTTCGTGGACGAGATCCGAATCCTCGGGCAATGGGAAACCAATACCAGCTATCAGCTGTGTATGGCTACTTGCATTAATTCGTGTTTTCTCGTCTTGCTGTAGGATGGAATAGCTCAGAATCTTCCGTAATGTATTCTCAGTCACGGGCGTCCACTGTCTTTTGTCGAAACGAGCTTCTAAGCCATCTTGTTCAGCTACGTAACCCACGTCCTCTATGAGACCAAGATCAACGGAATTTGCTCGAAGACCGAGTGATTCACGATACTGGGCGAAGGCATCCAGAAATGTGTTTCCTGCGGCATAATTTGCCTGCCCTTTATTTCCAACAACGCCGGAGATACTTGAGAGCAAGGTGAAGAATTCCAATGGCTCTTTCTGTTTTTGGGAAACATGGTGTAGGTTCCAAGTTCCATTGAGCTTTGCATGAAGGGCTGTGTGGTAATCATCCAGCGTCATAGTTTCAAATGGTCTGTCTCTAAGGATCATAGCTCCTTGAATGACCCCGGCAATGCGTGGTGACGACTCGCTGAAGACTTTGCTCATGAAATTGAAACTGGCAGCATCGCCTTGGGCATCTACAACCCTGCATCCATAGGCGAGGCAGTTCATCACAACATTCTGTGACGCAACATCGTTAATGCCACTTCTACTGCAGGCGATGATATTTTTAGCGCCACTACGCGCCATATGAATAGCTAAGGAGCCACATAAGCCTTTCAAACCGCCGACAATGAGATAAGAAGCGTCATGTCGAAGTTTCAGTTTTTGTGTTGCTGGCCGAATAGGTACCTGCACACTCTTACCTTCATCAGATATAACGACTTTGCCAATGTGTCGACCACTGCGGATGAGTGCCAGTGCTGCTGGAATATCATTAAATCCGAATACAGTAATTGGGTTAATGGGCTTGATATGGCCACCATTAATCAATTCGAAAATTTGGCCTAGCAGTCTAGATATGGTGGCAGGGAAGTTAGGATCTGATAGCCCCAAGAATTTGACTTACAGAATTTGGGTGGGTTGGGGAGGGGAGGGCGGGGCGGCGGAACATACCTTGCAATCAATGGATCTACTATATTTTCAGTGTAAGAAAAGTCCATTGCCCTGAAGGAGCAGTTGCGATCAAAAGGTTCCATGGATAGCATGTTACGATCAACAATGTCCTTCTTTCCGATCTCGACCATAGTACCGCCATCGGCGCAAATTCGCCATGAGGCATCGAGCAATTCTCCAGCCAGGGAGTTGATAATAACATCAATACCGCGGCCATTGGTTGCATGCATTATTTCCTTGGCAAACTTTGTACTACGAGAAGAGAATATGCGGGTCGGTGGAATGCCGTGATTATCGATTAGAAATTTGCGCTTTTCTTCTGTGCCAACAGTGACATAAATTTCTGCCTTCATGTGTTGCGCCAGCTGGATGCATGCAATCCCAACACCACCTGATGCCGAGTGGATGAGTACGGACTGTCCTTCCCTCAGGTTGGCGACATCGTAGAGCGAGTATATGGAGCACAGGTACACCGCAGGGATAGTAGCCGCATCCTCAAAACTCATCGAATCTGGTATAATGTGAGCTCTTCCGATACCAACTTGGAGGCGATTTGCGTAACAGCCTTTGTTCAAAAAGCAGACACGATCTCCAACTTTGAATTTGTTTACACCTGGTCCTAGCCGTTTCACAACACCAGCCCCTTCATAGCCAGTGGTGTATTCGTTCTCTGGAACAATGCCCATTGTCACAGCCACGTCTTTGAAATTGACGCCCACAGCCATTACCTCTATCTCAATCTTTTCTGAATCTACAGGAACCTCTCCAACGGCCGTTTCGCACCATGTAAGACCCTGGAAAGTTCCTAAGCGCTCGGCTCTTAATTGTACGGCTGCTTCAACTTCGTGTAGGCTCCTGAGTATAGGCTCTGCACCTTCTACCTCGGCCCTCTTGAAATCATTGACTGGAAGGTCCGGGAGAACCCTTTGCACATATAGAGCCCCGTTGCGTTCTACAAACTCTGTCTCAACAGCGGATCCCGAGTCTGGAGGATTTGATTCTAGCGATTTGAGAACCGCGTCAATGGCATAGTCTGTGGCAGGACCCGTGCTTGACTCGACGTCCAAAATGCTAAGTTTGGTGCTAGGATCTTCTCTACGGGCCACGCGAAATAGACCTTGGACGAGAGCGTTATTAGGATCAGTCACCTTATATTGGGCACCTTTGGTGACCCAGAGTAGATGGTTCCCAGAACTGATGAGCATTTTAAGGCCTTCCCACTGCGTTGTGTTGATATTTGTTAGTACTGGGGCATAAAGCTCATCGAGAACCAATATCACAGTTCCTGTTTCCGCAAGAATGTTCGATGAGTATGTCACGTCCTTGATTTTCCAACCGGATGATTCTAACGTTGCTTTGAGAGAGGGATCTAAGGACGGTGTATTCTCTGAAAGACGCACGACACTTAGGTTCCTCAGATGCGACTTGACTCTGATATCGACTTCATTAGTGTACAGAGACCATGCTGGACTGTCCTCATTACTAGCAACTTGTAAGATGGAAGTAAGTTTATGCACGTTCATTGCTTCACGTATCGTTTCGTGGTTTAACAATCGCTGTGTAACATCTGTTACCGTTGCACCAGACTCAAGCGATTCTTCCTTGCTGTTGTGGACTTCGTCGGATACTATGTTTTCAATTGCAATACGGATTTGAGAGTCCTTAGCAATGAATTCAGAGGACTCGGTGGCTATTCCGGATGTTTTAGTCGAGCCTGCCGACGACGGTGACGAGGACAGTGATTTGACACTCTCATCAAGAGAAGGGGTATGCACGGAGCTAATTCTTGATTGCGATTCAACCTCCTCCTCAACTACAAGCACATGCCCTTTGCTGAAAAGATGAGCTTTGACATAGTTGATGGTATCATTCACGCTCTGATCAACCACCGAAGACTTGGAAACTTTCAAAATTACAAGGTCATACGTTGCCTCTGATGGCAAATTCAAGGCCTCTTCCGTGGTGTTCAGTAGGAAGAACGATGTGTTGCTCTTGGTGTTGTACTTGCTTTGGATACTGACGAGATCTTTTGCGTTGTCCGAAGCAAAGTCGTACTGGATGTAAGCGGATCTTGATAATAAATTTCCAGGGTCAAACCAGATAGACCTTATCTCACTAGGATTAAGGTTCACCTCAAGGATTCTTAAACCAGGCTTCTTGTGCGCAATCAGATCGATGACTGTATCCAGTAGTGGCTCGGAATTTTCTGGACTCAGACCTACCAACTTTTCCTGGGAAAAGAAAGAAATGTCTGGCTTCCAGGAAATGCGGTCGAATACATGTGGGTCTGTTTTAACACCCATATCTAACTTGACAAATCGAAGCCCAGTCATCTGCATGATAAGTGCACCATTTTCGGGCTGATATACTGAGCAGTTAGCATGGTAGCTCTTGCCTTCCTCAGGACGGCCACGGCCCGAGTACTCTGATGTGGCAAGCGAGAGGCCCTCTTGGAGACCACTTGGCACACTGTTAATTATGAGGTCATCAATAATCGCAGGAACTAAGACAGCATTAACTGAGCTACGTTCTCCTGCCCAGAGAGCAGGGGTGACTGTCTGAAAGCATCCATCCAGAGATGCCGGATGAATTGGATAATAGGACTGTGGTGACCACTTTGATGATGGCTCTGCCAATGATACCAGAGCGCGAGATTGTCGTTGGCCGCTCTTGGACTCGACTTTGAGGAGCTTCTGAAAACTGGGTCCGAAACCATAGCCAGCTTCTGCCTGAGATTTATACCAAACTTTTCCAGGTGTTGAGTGTTGAAGAGGTTTGTTATCAGACTCATTCAGAGATTCATCAACAGGATCCTGTAGACGGATCAGGCCATAACAATGCTCAATCAAAAGATCTCCGGTAGCGGAAGAAATGCGAAATTCATGCCAGTCTTGTTGTTGGGTCAGTGACAACAGGACGGTTGAATCTTTATCATCCTCTAGTACTAAAGCTTTGGCAAATTGAATATTCCTAAATCGATAACACAGTTCATTAGGCGAATTAATGATTCTGCCCTCAGTAGCGGTGGCGCGCGTCTTTTGGTATAATGCTTCCACAGCCATTGCTATGTATCCAGCACCAGGCATCAAGACGTCCGAACCCATTTTATGGTCTTTCAACCATGGCACATCAGAAAGATTCAAAAGCTTTCGCCAAGTTGGAGATTTCCAAGTGGTCCCAATGACTTTGCTCCCAAGCAGATCGTGATTGACAAATTGTTTGAATCTCCAATCTTTACTCGATGCGTTTTCATGCCAGTACTTGATTGAGTGATTCCAGGTATAATTGGGAAGGTCAATGATAGTCTTAGTCGCAGCATACTGGTTGACGTTTCTCAAACTGATATCATGACCGGCGACGAACAGGGAACCTGCCAAATCGAAAATGGCTTTGCCAGCATTCTGACCTCGAGCCCATGAAGGATTGTAAGAGATGCTGTCGCCATTTGGCAATGATTTTAAAATTTGCGAGATGGGTCCAGCAAGTGCCCCTGATGGACCAATTTCAATCAGAAAGTTTGGTCCTTTCTCCTCCGAGAGCATCCCAACAAGAGCCTTATCAAAACGCACCGGCGAAACCATGTTCGTTTTCCAATATGAAACGTCCGTACTAGTAGATTTCTTTAATCCGGTAACTGAAGAAAACATGGATACATCTGATGATCCACCAAGGCTAGTGAAATTGGATTTCAAAAGCTTCTCATACTCCTCGCCAATCACTCCCATAAGTTCAGAATGATAGGCCAAATCAACTAGTAGGAGTCTAGCAAAATGATTACCGGCTTTCAATTCCTCGGCCAATGATTCGAGCGCACCTCGTTTCCCTGACACAGTTAAACTGCTAGGACTATTGAAACATGCAATCCAGGCTTGACCGACATATTTGTCTAGGTATGGTAAAAGCGCCTCGGTTCCCAGACCAACCGCCAGCATACCAACATCGCTTTCAACTTCGTTCTTTCGATTAAGAGCAGCAAGGCCTCTGTAGTAAGCTACTTTGATAGCAGTGGCTTGGTCGAGGAAGCCGGCTGCATATGCGGCAGCAATCTCTCCTGATGAGTGCCCAACCACACTTTGAGGTTTGACACCCCATTTTTGAAGCACTTCTATAATGCATAGTTGAAGTGCTGTTACAAGGGGCTGTGAAAATTCTGGTCGACGGAGATGTTCGGTGCTGCGTACCTCCGTTAACTCATTTACCAATGACCAGGTTGGAGGGTCTGGAAGGCTCTGCAGGGCGTCGTCAAGATTTTTCAGTATTGCCCTTGTCCATGGAAAGAACTGCAGCAGGTCCTTCCCCATTTGAGGCCACTGGGCACCCTGGCCGGTAAAGACAAACCCTATTCTCAGGGCATCGGGATTCTTCTTTCCAAGAACAAATTCATTTTCGTCAATTTCAGTGTTTTGTGTTGTGATGTAAGCTCGGTGCCACAATCGTGTCCTCCTCTCCGAAAGCGTATATGCGAGATCTTCGAGATTAACTTTTACGCGTGGGTTGATCAAGTGATCACAAAGTGCCTTGATGTTGGCCTTCAGTGAAGCCTTGTCATTTGCTGAGAGAACGAGCGTATACGGATGCTCAGAGTTATCTTCATCTAAAGTAAGCTCATCACTATCAGAAAGATACGAACTGACATGGCTCGGCCCATCGGAAAATTTGGGCTGTTCCAAGATTACGTGTGCGTTGGAACCTCCATATCCGAATGAATTGACACTTGCTCTGCGGATGGAAGATTCAGGCCATGGTATCGCAGTCCGAGTAGCCCTCACTTTAAAGCCAGCAAAATCGACTATCTTCATGTCAGCTTTGGTGAAAAAAAGGGTGCAAAAGACATTGCGTCAGATGTGCTTACTCTTTGGGCTAGGGTTTATGAAGGTAGGATTCCCCGGAATGATTCCATTTTCTATAGCCATGACAGCTTTCATGATACCTGATATACCCGCTGATGGCTCAGCATGTCCTAAATTGCTTTTTATCTTGATCTATCTCAGTAAAGGTCCGTAATCGATAAGATCGTAAGGGGCTGGCAGGTTACTTACCGAGCCGATGATGAGCGGCCTATCCGTTGAGCGCGTCCCAGAAAATGCCAAAGCGGCACCCTTTACTTCGGTAGGATCACCGGCCTGTACCAGACATGTTAATGAAACCGAGTTGCGCACACTTTGATATGGGTAATATCATACCTGAGTTCCGGTACCGTGGCACTCTAGATACGCAGTGTCATTCAAATTGGTAATACCGGCATTGGCATAAGCGGCTTTGATGGCAGCGAATTGTGCCTCGGCGCTAGGACTAGCAATTCCAGGTGTTCTTCCGTCACTATTGGTGGCAGACCCTCGGATCACAGCTCTTATGGGGTCCTTGTCGCGAATAGCGTCGGAGAGCCTTTTAACAATGATACTACTCACTGCTTCGGCTTTTACATATCCATCGGCGTCTATATCAAATGTGTGACACAAACCAGTAGGCGAATGAGCATTGCCTACCGCTCCAAGATCCATCACATGTTCTGGATTCAGATAGAGGTTGCTTGTTGCAATAATAGCTGCATTGATCTCTCCAGACTGTAGGTACCGGCAAGCTACGTCCAAACCCACAAGACTGCCCGAGCAAGCAGTATCGATAGTCATACTAGCAGACACAAAAATTTAGGCACGATACGGTGAATTGCATATTCAAATTCTTACCTCGGTCCCTTGATATTCAAGAAATGACTCAGTCTATTAGCCATGATTGCACGTCCAACGCCAACGGTGATATTTGCTGGTCTATCTTCAGGGTCTCTGTTTTGCATATCGCCATAATCTGAGGTATTTTAGTATTTTCAGTTTCACATCACGTAAAAATTCACTGACCTGAGGCATATGAACCAACGAAGCACCCAACAGGTTGCCCGTCGAGACTCTCTAATGGAATACCCGCATTCTCAAGTCCTTCGAAAACAACTTCAAGCATTTGACGTTGGTTTGGATCCATTGAAATAGCCTCAATCCGCGATATCTCAAAAAATGAAGCATCGAAATCCGCGGGATCAATATCCTCGAGAAACATGCCGCCACATGGTCGCATTGTGCGTGGCTTTTGAGATCCATCCCAATGTCCCTCAACATTGAATCTCGACTTGGGGACCTTGTTCGAGGCAATGTCTCCTCTTTCGAGGAACTCCCAAAGTTTCTTTGGGGTGGTGTTACCGCCTGGAAGTCGGCATGCAAATCCAATAATGGCAACTGGTTCTTGAGAATGTTGACGCATTATTATTTTGTTTTTGTTATGGAGCTTGCGGTGTTTTATTGATCAGATTGGGAGATTTGAGAAGGAAGTTGCTCATGAATAGATCGGTGTCGTTGTGATACCACGGCATCTTATATGGAAAGGAAGGGGGCCCATACAAAGTCCAGTCCCAATAACCAGTCAGATTTCGAGTCTTACCGCAGAAAAAATATATCTTATTTCCCCATCGTTGCTGACTTTAATCAATAACCGATATCCTTGTGTCTTGACAAACTCAATATCTTCTATATTTTTATTTCTTTAGTAAAAATATATTAAAAATCAAATAATAAAAAATTCTATTATGTATTTCATTGATAATAAAAAGAATTAATAATAAAATTTTGTAAAAATAAATTTATTAAAATATTTTTAAATTTAAATTTTTTAAACTAATAATTTATTTATTTTTTAATTTTTAAATTAATTTTAAATAATTTAATAATATTATTCTTATTATATTCATATTTTAAATTTTTAAAATATTTAAATGATTCATTTTGATATAAAGATTTGTAAATTTGTTTTAGTAATTTTATTTCAAATATTTTAAAAAAGAATTTAAAATTTATTTAAAAATATTATAGAAGTGATAAGTGTCACGGGGGTTGAGGGTCGATCACGAGGATCGCCCCTCTAGTAGACCCACAACCGCCTGTTCAGGCTCCAAGCGGCGAGCGCTCGGTAGTCATTCCTGTGCGAGCGCTAGGGTTCGGGATTCTAGTGTATATTGTACATTTAAGAGAACCCTGTTTTGTAGAAATCGTAGCTCTTTGAGCTACGTCCTATTAATAAAACCCTGACCTGTTATTCTGTCTGTCTAGCCCGCGATAATAAGTCGAGATGTATATATCTTAATAATATATTATAAAAGAGAATTGAAAGAGAAAGTTGATTAAATTATATATATTATAATATATTATTTATAAAGAAAACAAAATTCATAATAGATTTGAGATTGAAGTTATATATATTCAAAATTTATATATATAAAAGGTTGATTATTATAAAAAGAAAAAAGTCCCTTTAATCAAAAAATTATATATTTGATTAATTAAAACCTTTATATATATAATTTATAATTTTAATTTTCTTATAGTATTTTCTAAAAAATCTTTCAATATAATAATAATTCTTATTTAATTTCAATTAAAAAGTACAATATTTTCAAAAATATTTAAAAAAGTTTTTTAAATTTAATTTTAAAACTTATTATAAAATCAATTTTATTAAATATAATTTTTTTAAAAGAATTTAATTTTTATTATTAAATTTTATTTAATAAAATCGATTTTATAATAAAAGAATTATATAATTTTATTAATGAATTATTAAATATAAATTTGAAATAAATTTATTTATTTCTAATTTATATCAAAAGGAAATTCAAATCAAAAAGAAATTTAATTTAATTTTAAAAATTATTTAATATTATAAAATTCTTTTTTATAATAATTTATTTTAAAAAAATAAAATATACATTTATCATAATTTTAAATTTTTAATATAAAACTTTTAACTTTTCAATTATAATTACATTATGTAATTTAAAAATTTATTAATAGATTATAAAAAACTTTTAATACAATTTTAATATTCTATTTCAAATGAAAAATATATAATTTCTTCAAATTTGACTTTTTCAAATTATTGAACAATAAATAAAAGTCTCTATTTTAAAATTTAAAAAAAGAATATTTATAAATTCTTTACAAATTGAATTTATAAAGTGATTTTTATTAAATTAAATGCGCGTAAGATATCGGGACGTGTAAGATGTAAGGACCTCGGTTATCTTTTAGAAACACTGAAAATTCTCATTGACTTTTTCATTGGCTTTCCATTAACTTTCCACTAACTTTTCCACTTTACTCCTTTCCTTACGCGATATGTGAGTTACAAACGATGGAAAGTAGACCTTGTTCTCAAATGACACTGCAGATAAGAAATGTCATCCACTACTCTCGAGGGGCACGTGTTCGCTTGAGCCCGTGATGACCTTGCATATAAAGCTGCAAGTAAGAGGAGCGAGAGCACCCGGCGATCGTCTTAAGTTTTTCCGAACAACGTTCCTTGACGTCAAAATACAATCTGCAATGTAAAATGAAATTATGTCCGGTCAGCAATTCAACCGCAATTTCGGTTTTGCATCCATCTTCAGAAAAAGCCGGGGTGGGGCGCCACCATTCGCTGTGGTACGTGGTGATCGATCGACTGCATTGTGTTCGCACCCGTGAATCTTCATTCGCAGATCCTATAGCTGCATGTAAGACACTCTGATCCTACAACGTGAACAGATATCGTTTGATATCATGCCACACACCCATGGCTTCACTGCATCTTGTCGGAAACATATGCTACTGGATTCCTTGAAGATTAGATAGCGCTTATCAATACTGATGTGGGTTGTGTTTCAACGGCTTTCTGGTGGAAGCATCTCAGTGGCTTGCTAGAGGCTGCAATATAGGATCGATAAGAATCACCCGAATAAGCTCCGAGAGGAGGGATGTCAAAATTGTTCCTGTCGGGTAGGCCTAGAAGGGGTTGATATTCTAGACAAAAACCTCGTTCTTCCAGAAACCTGTAGCACTGCACAGAGAAAAAAGGACTTTCTTCCCTCCCTCTCATCATCTCTTCTCGGATCACTCGTACTGACTACGTTTGGTGCTTCGTTAAACATCTCACTCAAAGCCTCGCAGTGTGGAAAAGAATCAACTTATAACCACTTAAGAAACATTTCAGAAGAAGATATGGCTCTCCCGGCAGTCAATGTTGAGTACAAGACAATTGATGGCGTCACTATCCGAGGATTGTTGTATCCGACGGAGGTGAAAGCGCCTGCCGTTATCATGACACACGGAGTATGTACTTCGCAAACTAGCATTCAACGATGTGTTATTTGTTTTGATTACTCACATAAACTTAGTTTAACTGTGTCAAAGAAATGCTCTTGCCAGAGATAGCCAGGAAGTTCCAAAGCATAGGTTACAATGCCTTAATTTATGATCCACGGAGCATCGGAGACAGTGATGGGCTTCCTAGAAACCAGATCAGTCCACTGCAACAATCTGAGGATTTGTCAGGTCGGTACACTTCTATCAATAACATTATGCTGTTGTACAGTGTATAGCTCTGGCTCACAATTTGGTGTCTAGACATCTTAACACACGTCTCATCATTGCCGAATGTAGATTCGCGTCAGCTCATACTTTGGGGTATGTCCTTCGGAGCAACTGTGAGCGCTTGTACAGCAGCTGTGGATAGGCGAGTAAAGGGACTCATCATGGTGTGCCCTCTTTTTAGCTTTTCCAAACCAGAAAGACGGGAAAAGGCTATGGCACAACTCATTAGGGATCGGCAGTCACAGTTGCGAGGTAATGAAGCATTTACACTGCCTCCCTTCAATAGCAAAGGAGAAAATCCGATGGGCTTCGGTGGATCAGGAGGGCCAGGTGGAATGGAAGCCTATAGCTTCATGTCTGCAGTCATTGATCGAGGGGCACCAAACTTCCGCGATCGAATCACGCTACAAACCTACCACAAGCTGTTTGTGTTCCGTCCCAAGATTCTGCTTGATATGGTTCAGGCAACCACTTTGATGATCGTTCCCGAGTTAGACAATATTTCCTCTCCAGATGAACAAATAGAAGCTTTTGGACTTTTACCAAATCCGAAAAAGCTGTATATGGCAAAAGGCAAGGGGCATTTAACTGTTCTTAGTGGAGACAAGTCGGAGGAAATTTTGGGTGTCATGACAGATTTTATGGATGCAGTTACTGAGATTGGGGCATGAGCCGGGAATTCGTTTTTCCTATTTTCACAGGTTTTGCGGACAAGTAGTTTGGTGTAAAGAGACTAATAAGACTACTGTTTTGATCGTGATATTTTAAAAACATCCAACAATCTCAGACTTCGTATCGAGCTACCATCATGTAAGATTAAAATCTCCAGCCCGTGGGAAATGAATGAAAATCTAAAGGAATATTATATAATTGCTGGTTTCAATGAGGGTTGCCGCCCGAAGTGATCATAAAGTACTTCCTGTGCAAACATATAGATCCTTCCTGGAAGGGTTTTTTCAGTTGTATGTGAAGTATACCATGTGTATAGATTTACTAGGAAATTGTTCAAAAACCGGACTCGTAAATATTGAAGAATAGTGTGCGTAGGAAGTCCAGATCGGATATTCCAAATTTGGCAAAGGTGAAGCCATATCCACTACGATTAGTAATCACCTCTAATCCCTACCATCACCTTTAAACTCTAATTGTGATGCAATTGTCATAAGTGCTATCTACAATTAACAATCAAAAGATCGATGACCCTGAAAAGATTATATATACTAAATATAAATATGCAAATCAATCTCAAATATTGATTATTCAAAGATCAATCAAAGATCAATCAAAATAAACTATCTTAACTTGGTCATTAATTTAAAAAAAAAACTTAAAATAGAAAAGATATATATTTTATTTGATTTTTCTTTTTGAATAATTATTTCAAATAAACAAACATGCAAGATATCGCGTCGTACAAGATGCAGGGATGTCGGTTATCGTTTGCTTCCTTAGCGCCGAAGGTACTGCTCCAAGCGTTCCAAACCTTAACACCGGTGCAGAGATACTCAAGTCTCCAAAAGACTAGTATTGACCTTAGTGCCATGCGAGAGAGCTCATGGTAAAGAATCCATCCCAGGATTAGATGATCGTCTGGAATGATATAACGAATCAGGCGAAGAAAGATGACATTCCCGCGTGTAGCCGGCTGAGGCTTACAATGCATATATTAATACAGGGTGCATGGCCATTCTTGGCAGTTGCTTACTTGCTCTTAAGCCTTCGAGATAATGCTGCAAGTAAGAATTGTTGATAAACACAGCAAACGATAGAATTGGCGCTATGCTGTTTCGGATTTGGTTTTCATTACGATCCTAAGATATCAACCTCTCTGATTCCTCACTCTTTCGTTACGCATTTCTGCATGCCATCAAGATGGTTGCTACTAGTCTCGTTGACATGATTGCAAGTGTTCATAGCTACCTAGGAAGCTCTGCGGGTGATTCTTGGATCGGATTTTGGCATGACTTGAATGAGTGGACTTGGTGGAAGGTTTCAATCTTGGAATCTTTTTATTTTATAGCTTCATTATGGGGCATCTACTGCATCGGTTTGGTAACATATCGACGTACGTATATTGTGGATTATGATTATGGCAGATTCTATTGGAATAACTTCGTTGACTATCTCGTCCAGTGGCATTGTCTCCTATCGCTAAGATACCTGGGCCAAAGTTAGCGGGTAAGACTTCACTAAATTCTGTACCTATTCTCTTGAACTAACAGCGTTGCCTTTTCTCTATCATAAGCTGCGACATTTTGGTACGAAATATATTATGATGTGTGGCTTGGAGGGACATATTATCGCAAGATTGACGAAATGCATAAGAAATATGGTATGACTTCCATGCGATTTATCGGAGGTCGCTCTACTTGACTAACATGGAGAATGCAGGGCCTGTTGTTCGAATCAATCCTTACGAAGTCCACCTGAACGACCCAGATTTCATAGATTCTGTATTTCCGGGACCTGGCAGACAAACTAATAAGTATTTCTTTACTGGTAGAAGAACAGGAAGTAAGAATTTACGCCAAATCACCCCGTTCCTCCAGAATTTTGCCTGCGCTTGATAAGCTGACTGTAGCGTATCTGATTACAGCCCAGAACTCTATCGTTGCAACGATTGACCATGATATTCACCGCAAAAGACGTAACACCATCACCAGCTTCTTCTCAAATTCTAGCATCCGCAGGTTAGAGCCTGTGATGAAAGAACACATAAGTCTACTCCTCTCTAGAATGCAAGCGGCTGGAAAGTCAGAGGAAGTCTTGCCAATGCATTTTGTATTCCGCGCATGCACCAGTGACCTCATTACTCGGTATGCCTTCGGAGAATCTTTCCATTTCCTAGAGCAGGAAGATTTTTCCATTCCTTACATGGAATCTACCGACGTATTTTTCAAACTCAATCATACTTTCTGCCACTTTCCCTGGGTTGGTACACTACTCGCGCTCGCACCCCCCACAGCAGTTAAAACATTAGTTCCATCTCTGACAGAGATGTGGAATAAAGCTGCAGTACGTCACCCAACTACGTGGGGGTCTTTAGCTTGCTAATCCTGATTTAACAGATGTGGATAGAGCGTGTCGATGAAGTTAGGAACTCCCCAAACCCTGAAAAAATCAAGAGTACAATATTTGAAGGCGTGCTTAGTAGTAAACTTCCGGATGAAGAAAAGACCAATCTCAGGCTCGCCCATGAAGCACAGCTGGTTGTATTTGCGGGAGAGGGCACAACAGGTATGCGTTCCACCAAACCTATAGGAACATTATTGGACTTAAGAATTGACTGAGATCAACATCAACACAGCATATACTCTACAATCTGCTCTCTTCCAGCTACTTGCAAATCCGAAGGAATTTGAGAAGGTAAAGGCTGAGATACTCTCAGCCACTACAGTTGGAGACATCCTTCCCTCTTTGTCGGAGGTAGAGAGCCTTCCCTACCTTAACGCCGTTATCCAAGAGACAATCCGCATTCATCCTGGTGTTGTTTCACGCCTGCCACGTGTCTCTCCCAAAATTCCAACCGTGTTCCATGACAAACACAATGATAAAGGGTACGTAATCCCAGCCGGCACATCGATGAATATGACGGCGCAGATTTCACACATGAATCCCGATGTTTTTGAGGATCCATACGAGTTCCGTCCACAGAGATGGATTGAGAACCCCAGACTTGACAAAGCCTTTATTGGTTTCGCTCGAGGTACAAGGAACTGTATCGGGTATGTACACACTCTGTATCATTCTTGTAAGCAACACTGACGGACGCCTTTGTGTTAAACAGGATGAACTTTGCACGTCTCGAAATGTCCTTAGTTCTTGCAGCTATTATTCAAAAGTATGACATTTATTCCGGACAAGGTGGACCGACGTTGGAATTGTTTGATACGATACGTGAGAGAGATATCGACTTGAATCACGATTATATCATACCTTTTCCAGCGAAGGGCAGTCGTGGTTTGCGTGTTAAAATAAGAAATTAGACAGAATCGGATGAGTTCGCAGAAAGGATTTTGTAGGTGCTACTAATAGAGCACTCGTTCCCTTATTTGTTGGTTCTAGACCTGATGAGCCTAGCTCATTATCTGGGGGTTGTCTTTGAGGCTGTCAGCTATTAAAGCCATTCCACTTCCAATTTTAGCTAGTTTAATGGTGATTCATTCATACTAAATCACTTCCTGCGTTCCATAGATAATTGTTGAAGTTCAGGGGAAAGGTAACGCGGTATGTGGAATATTATGAAATGGTTGTTTGTAAGACATTATAATTGTCGGCTTACCAACACCAAAACCTTGCTATATATGTGCGTATCATAGTTTACTCAATATAGATAGTAAAAATGAGAAACTTATCTAAGTGAGTTACAGTTTGAGTAATCTGATTGGTTTTAAATACACCTATAGAAGATCTATTAAAAAGCTTAACATAAGTTTAAAATTTTAAATATATTTGACTTGAAGCTTTTTTCAACTTAATGTATTTGATTCAATTTAATTTATTTAACTTATTATTTTATTTTAAAATCTTATAAAAGGAATCGAAAATAAATATTAAAGATTCAAACACTTATTTATTAAAATATAAATAAAACAAATGAAAGAATATATAATTATAAAAAGAAAAAAATATATAATTATAAATATTTATTTATATTTATACCCAACTCCCAAAGATTATTTTTCTTTCTATATCTATCTATCTATCTATCTATCTATCTATCTATCTATCTATCTATCTATCTATCTATCTATCTATCTATCTATCTATCTATCTATCTATCTATCTATCTTACATTTCATACCCCTCAGTAATATCAAAGAACAAATATTAACCAGAAATTGAAATCCCAGTATTCATTCATCCTCTTTACACCTATCTCTAGCAATCCCTTATCAATAGCATACTCTTTGATTATCCACCTATACAGAAAAGTCTCTCTCCCTATCTATCAACTTCACCATCTCAAATTACGACCGCTTTTCTTCTTTTCCTAAACCAGGAATTATTTTCACATACTCGAGATTATGGACTTGGAGAGTTACTGGTTCATTATATATGTGTGCAACTATGTAAGACCCTCTACATAAGTGTCTACAATATAATAGTCGTATAAAGTAAAGTAAACAAGAGGTTGATATAATTGAGATATAGACTCTATTATGAAAAAGGGGCCAGTCTCGAAGTAATGTATAAAGGGTTTGAAGTGGAGAAATAAGATTGTCATATAAAGTATTTTGGGGAACTTGGCGGTTGAGTGCGAGGATTACGTTGATTGAAGTGGGGCAGGAGAGGCAAGATGGAATGTCATAAGGGTTTATATCGCCAGTAGAAAGTAAAAGATGAGTAATAAGATTCTGAAGTCTATTCTGAACCTTTCATCTACGGTAGTGAATTCTAAATCTAAATCCAATATAAATCTAAATACAAAACTATATCGAATCTAATCCCCAGATACTCCATCCATCTTCTCTTTCTGCTTTTTTTCCTTCTTCTCCTTCTCCTTTATCTCCTCCTTCCTCTCCCTCTCCACCCTCTCCCTCCTCTCACTAAACCTATCCCCAAACACCTCCAAATTAACCCTCATAACAACCGTAACCCTAACAAACTCCTCCATACAATCCACCAACCTCTCCCTATTAGAACTAGGCAACAATCTCGCCCTTCCACTCCCATCCCCTCCCTCATCCTCAAACTGTTTCCAAGCCATGGGCAAACTACTCTGATTAGGACAAGTAAACATTCTCATCCACCTACCCAAAATCCTCAAACTATTAACCGCGTTGAAACTTTGACTTCCGCCGTTGACTTGGATGAGGGAGAGAGTGCGGCCCTGCGTTGGACGGACCGAGCCGCTGGAGAGAGGGATCCAGTCGATTTGGTTTTTGAACACAGCGGTTAGGTTACCGTGTTGTTCCGGGGAACACCAGATGTGTCCGTCTGACCAAAGGGATAGTGCTCGAAGTTCTTGGACTGATGGGTGAGAGTCATCGACTGAGTCGCGGATGGGAAGGTCTTTTGGGTTGAAGACTCGGACGTCGCAGCCGAGACGGTGGAGAATTCGGGAAGCTTCGAAGGCCATTAACTTTGAATAGGAGCTTGGACACTTGTTAGATACGACTTATACATTTTACATTAAAACTGGAACATGCCGTTGCCGTAAGCTTCCATAAAGTACCAAGACCTTTATTCTGGAGTTGGTTTTCGCTAGATTCTCTTCCACTTGAGTAATTACAGAGTCTAACTCTAGTTCAGAAATCCAATCTGTAGCTTCAGTTTCTGGGTCCAATAAGAAAGGACGATATTTAATTCTAATATCAAGATCATCTTGTGCTTCGCTAATGGCAAGTTGAGGACATTGAGCCAATGTTCGGAACTCCCGTGTGGTAGGGGTAAGAGGACTCATTTGAATTGCTATTTTTCTGAAAGTTGTCCTCCGTAGCAGATTAATAGTGAAAGAAGCAAGGTTCATGTGAAAGACAAGTTGTATTGACTGCTATGAGGAGTTGGGAATTACAAAGTATAAATAGGAACCTACCTCGGGGGTAGTAGAGAGTATTGATGATACCTCGTCTAAACTGGCCCAAGCTTCCTCTAGTACGAGTGACATTTCGCTACTCGTTTATTGGTGGGCCTGATTTGAGCGGAATCCTGCTTGGAAAATGTTACGCTAGCTGTAGGACTACCTAGGTAATGATCGATTGTGTTGACAGAATTATTGTTGTGCGAGAGTTGGCACGTTTTAGACGCTTGTCAAGTTAATAGATTATCAATTATAAACACAATTTAAAATAATAAGCATTCCAGATAGACCATGATAGTACTTTGAAAGTTAGGGCACTTGCCAAGAGCATACATGATATAACACGTAGGTGACAAAGCCCGAGAAAAGTTCGAGTCGCTGTAAATGCTGGATATCATTATTTAAAAAAGATCTAACTTTTCAAATTTCAAAGTTGTTTATTCCCCCTTCCCCTCCGCCGCTGCCTTCTCAGCCTCTACTCTCCTCTTTTCATCGCCCACCTCATCTACATAGCCTTCCGTCTTCATATCCGAAAGACCCAAGTCCTCTTCTTCCTCAGCAGTTCTCTGATATTCCTCTATCTCGATCGATGGATCAGCGTCCGGTAAATACAGATTCTGTACGTAACTGCTTGCCAATGGATCTCTGAGTATAATTGTGAATTTTCTGTCGCCCTTAATGGCCTCGTCGATACCATCGAAAAATATCTTCCAGTTCTTCTTAGATTCTGATTCCATACCATCTCCACCTTCTCCGGCATCACCAACATCAAATATTTGTTGATGTAAATCGTCTCGCACCTGAGTGAGGAGACCTTCAACGGTGGTAAATCTTCCTCCCAAAGTTCCAGGGTTAACCGAGAGTTTGAGTTCAGGGCATTCCAATGCGCACGACTCTGACTTGAGGATATCTCTTGCTAAATCCACAACACTTTCAACCTTAAGAGTGATACATTTACCCTTCGCTGGAACTTCACCTCCAGTTTTAACCTCATTCGAACGATATCCGCAATGTTCACATACTGTACTCATAATAACAACTTGCTTGAAATGTGGAATTTCAACCATCTTCATATGTGTGACGCAATGTCTTGTACATCCAGGGCAGGTAGCTGGGAAAGAATAAACTTCGTTAGGGATAATATCGTCGTCTTCGAAACTTGCGGCAGTGGGTTGTCCTCCAGTTGCAGCATCAGTAGGCTGTTCACCACTGAGACCAAGAGCCTCATTTTGTTCTGGGGTTCTTGGATATTGGACCTTGGCGAGTTTTCCTACACCATCCCTTTGATCTGGCTCAATCCATGAATTTCCTGCTGGATCATCAAGAGATAGTCTGAAAGGAAATGCCTCGCCTGCAAGCATCTTCCGACCTCTGGTAATAACATCTTCGATTTTTTCATATACTTCTGGAATTTGCTCCTTTCGCTCTGGTTGTTTGAGAGCAAGATCATCAAGAATCATGCTCAAAAGACCTTCTACATTTGTCAACTGCCCTCGGCCTTCTGGAACCTCAAGATCCAACTCGATAAATTTTACAGTACAAGAATCAGATTTCACCACTTGTCTTGAGAAATCTTCGGGGGTGGTGAGGCGCAATTCAAATCGTGAACCTCTTTGTTGAATTTCTCCAGCAGATTGGATCTCGGAATTTTTGAAGCTGCAGTGCGGACAGAAGAAGGACATAAGGATAATTTCGCGGAAGTAAGGAATTCGTGTGAGGAGTAATCGGGTGATTCCCTAAGAGTGAAGGGTTAGCAGGCATTCTTAGTAGTTAAAGGATGGCTTAACGTACATTTTCATGACAGTTCATACATAATGATTCGATTTCATCTACCACTCTCTGATCTTCATCCGACTCCAATGTGCCGTTGGTCACAGTACCATCCTTCGAGTCATTGGCAGAAAGATTCTGTGCCTTTTTACCTAGACTCTCAAAATAATCATCGAAGATAGCACCGTCTGGCTTTGTTTCGTTTTGGTTTGTTTCGGCCATGTCGTCTAAAATTTTATTGTTGTTTCTGAATTGTTATGATTTTATGATGCAGAACAATAATTATTGTAAAATTTGGGAGGGGCAATTATTATGAGGGGTTGCGAAATTATATTTTTCGACGCCTGATAAGATTCGACCCTGGTTATGACATTTTAGCGTGGCGCGTTACCTCATCGAGCGTCAGGCTGAAAGTCCGAGAAGGCTGTGGAAGCTCTGGTTTGTCATTGTCCAGACGAGAGGGGTCGAGGAAAATTTTGTAGCTGTGACGAAGGTCCAAATTTGAATTCGTGTTATCGTTCTTTTGCTATCAATAGTCAGAACGAAGAGCTCCGGGAGTTTAATGTCTCTCACGGTGTATTAAGCGTTGTCTAACATACGGCATAATCCAAACTTTGGCGACAGTGAGGGGAAGATCCTAATATCGACTGTCTGGATAGAATGTCGCATGTATTCGATTCATGATTGTGTTTTCTGGAGACTCGGTCTTGTTATTTTCCAGAGTAAAACTTCTTTTGCCTGTTAACCTTAATGCTGTGTCGAATCGTGACCCTACATCTTCAAATATTTTAGCCACTATCCAGTGACATTCAAGCCTTCCTCATTAAATCCATCAAATCAAGGCCAAAGCCCGACGAACTTGCCTCTGACGCTTTTTGTTTCGCCAGCAAAGCTCCAAGCCCACCCAGCTTGCGATTTTTGGCCCTTTTCTTGCTACTTGCACTTGTAGAGGGCATAGCTGTAGTATTCGTAGTTGTCGAGGACTGTGCCGGCAAGGAACCATTTTTAGAGACAGCTCCACGATTTATTGCGCTCATCTTAGACCTAGATACCACTGGCGCAGAACCCAAATGATGTCTTGCTTTTTTATTGCAAGAATAGCATGTATAAATTACAGCCTTTTCCTCACTAGAGGCTACAGCTGGCTTCTTTCGATGTAGCTTCTTGTTGGAGCTTTGGGATTTGACTTCCAGTTTTCCTTCCCATCCCGATATCATAATAGTCCCGCAGACACCACATGATTGGCGTTTTTGAGACTCGGGTTGTTCAATTTCGTGGTCAAACATTAAAGAATTGCACTGTGACATCAAATATTTCGAGGTAGTGGGTGCCGATGTCGCTAGGAAATGTGCCGACTCATTCAAATATCGTAGACGCGCCGCCAATTCTAAATCTGCCATGATTATAATATAATGTTGTGAAGAATTGAGACTCTCGACCTATGACGCGTCGTGTATGAACTAAAGGGAAGTTTATGATGGATTTTTGATTTTCGGTTTGTACTTACTTTGAGAGTTTGGCAAGCGAGGTAGTGGAATGAACATGAAATTATTCTCGACTTCGACAACTAAGGGTAACCTTTTCCGAACCCTTGAGGAATTACGAAAATCATACCATTTGTGTTATGGGAGAAACTACGGCTACATAGTAATTCGCAACTTGTCCAGCAAGGTGCCCTTTAAAGAACCTAAGAAGCTGTCTAAGAAACCTAAAACACCGCCCAAAATGGCTGCCTCCATTCAGGAAGTCAATGGTTTGCGCATAGCTGTAGAGGGATGCGTAAGTCCCAGTCCATAGCGATGGATTATCGGGCCAACGTGCTAAATCTTTCAATAGGGTCATGGCACTCTGAACGCAATATATGCTTCCATTGAGAAAGCTTGTGAAGCTCGAAATTGGGATGGTGTTGATCTCCTCATCATTGGCGGGGACTTCCAGGTTAGCTAGAGTTCCCATCATATCTAGCATTTAGTACTTTACTGACAATTCCAGGCAGTACGAAATGCAAATGATCTTACGGTGATGTCATGTCCAGTCAAGTATCGAGAAATTGGCGATTTCCACGCATACTATAGCGGTCTTAAGAAAGCACCATACCTCACCATTTTCGTAGGCGGGAATCACGAAGCTAGCAGTCATTTATGGGAATTATATTATGGAGGATGGGTTGCGCCAAATATTTACTACATGGGAGCTGCGAATGTGGTACGATTAGGCGGGGTGAGAATTGCTGGTATGAGTGGCATTTGGAAAGGTTATAATTACAACAAGAGCCATTACGAACGATTACCATACAACCAAGATGATGTCAAATCGATATACCATATTCGCGAATTTGACGTTAGGAAACTTTTACAAGTGAGGACGCAGGTCGATATTGGGATCAGTCATGATTGGCCGAGGGCCGTTGAGAAGCATGGAGATGTCAAAAAGTTGTGGAATATGAAACCAGATTTCCAAAGAGAATCAAATGATGGATCGCTGGGGAACTTGGCTGCGAGTTATGTTATGGATCGTCTGAGGCCGCCTTATTGGTTTGCGGCACATTTACATTGTAAATTCTCCGCTGTAAAAACTTATGAGGGCGCGCAGAAACCAAAGAAACTGGAAGAATCAAAGGAAGAAGAAGTCAAGCCTACCGAAGCTGCGCCTTCAGTCGAAAAGGGCGATACAGCTGTTGAGCAACGGCCAATAATACCACATAATGATGATGAGATTGATCTTGATATGGATGATGACGACAGCCCTCCAGTAACTGACGCACCAAAGGGTGTCGAAGCTGTAGCGGACAGTGATCAAAGTAAGAACGCACCAACACCCACAGAAGATTCCACACCATCGGCAGTCCCATCTGATATTCGAGCTCAGTTACCAGCTGCTTTCTCGAAACCAGCACCTCCACTCCACCGAGAGTCTAAGGTACAACCAGGACAGCCAGCACCACCAGGAGTCACGAACAAGGCAGTTCGCTTTCTTGCTCTAGACAAATGTTTACCAGGTCGTAAATATCTACAACTTTTAGAGGTACAACCTTTTGATAGCACCCAAAAGGCCCCGATGGCTACTCCACGAGCGAAACCAAAGTTTGAATATGATCCAGAATGGTTAGCCCTAACACGAGTTTTCAATTCCGATCTTATTCTCGGGGACAAATCAAGTAAATTTCCTGAAGATTTGGGGGAAGCTCATTACAGAACACTTATCGAAAAAGAACAAGCATGGATCGACGAGCATATTGTTCAGCAAAACAAATTGGAGATCCCCGAGAACTTTGTAACGACCGCACCACCTTTCGTTGAAGGCACGCCAGAGATCGTGAATGAAGGACCGTTGGAATACAATAATCCTCAAATGCAACAATACTGCGATCTCCTCGGAATGGAAAATAAATTTTATGCTACCGATGAGGAAAAGCAAATTAGAATGCAGAATGGGCCGGCGCCAGTAGAAGAACGAAGAGATGGAGGATTTGGAGGTAGAGGAGGTGGAAGAGGTCGAGGTGGTAGAGGTGGTGGGAGGGTTTTGGGGTGGACGTGGACAGCGAGGGGGTGGTAGAGGGGGTGCTAGGGGTAGAGGGAGAGGTGGTTGGCATTGATTTGTTGCTAAGAATCAAGACTATGAAAGTGCTAAGTACTCTATATATTAAGATACCCAACTTCCTTGGCTTTATCAACTCGCAATATGTAGTCCCACAGTATGCATGATTTGAGTGGTAACTGTTAGCTAACTGTAATGCATTACCGTTTCATATGATGTTGATATTGATATTGATTGGTATTGGTATTGATATTGCCATTGATGGCATGGGTTACGAACGTATCAAAGCATTATCATTCATTACCTACCTACCTCCTATGTGGCAGCTGTGTGTATATATATAGATTGCTCGGGGTATACTTCGTACGGCGTCGTCTGCATAGGTAGGTACATAGATATCATGCATGCATTGGCGATTGGTAAGATTAACATTTGGGATGGGTGATGTGGTCAAACAGTCAGAAATCGTACTGTGGAGTGGAATACATGGAATGTATAGAATATAGACGGACAGAAAGGAAGAAACACGGATATGGATATGGATATGGATATGGATAGATACGATTTGTCGGTGTGAGGTACCGGTCTTGGATTTTTTGATTATTGCGGAGGATTAGTTGTTGTAAGTTGTTGTATAAGTTGTTATAAGTTGACTTTAAAAACCCTTGACAGAATAGATAGACAGACAGATACCTAGATACCTAGATACCTAGTAACCTAGTAACCTTACCCAAGTAGGTAGCTCTCAATCAAAGTTTCTCTAGCAAGGTCGGTGCGGTGATCACAAGTCAATTTCATAACCCAAAAATAAAATTTCCTTCATTTTCTCTTTCTCTTCTTTTTTCCTTCTTCAGGAATTCAGGATGGGTCGTCGGGGAATTAGGGTTTGACTTTTTGATTGATTGATCCACTCGGTCTGGTCCCCTGATCTGCAGAGTACGTATTGGTGGGTGAGCTAACCGTTGTCAAACTTGTCTTGTCATGTGTGCTGGGTTTTTTTGGTGTTGTGGGATGATGGATGATGGATGATGGATGATGGATGATGGATGATGGATGATGGATGATGGATGATGGATGCGGTGGATTCGGTATTGCGTGGGTAGGGGTTAAAAGCTTATCAGTTGGTGAGAACTTAACTGGGGTTATGAGTATGAGTTGCTAGGTACTGGTTGTATTTGGGCCTGCTCCATAGAGGTCATGAAGGGGAGGAAGCGAGGAAAGGACTAATTGATTGACCGACTCCAGTTTTTGAATAATGTTTTTTTTTCTGTTGGTGGAATGGTTTTGTTTGCGGAAGGTTTGTAATTATCTGTTTGGTTCTACTCAGCAAACGATATGGTTTGGTGATGTTTATGAATATGTATGTATATACGGATAGACGCTGTGTAGTGATTTGACCACCTAGTATATATTTCATATAGATTGTGTATATGGATTTTGTATCAGCCAGCACATATTCATATCTTTCATATAGATTATGTTATATACAGAATACTCCCTCTTCCCCATAGCCAACACGTATCCCATATAAATCATAAGATTTTGACGTATGTGTTATAGAACACATGCGAGCACAACAAGCCACCAAAGGGAAAATAACGCATATGCACGACGGGAAACGATCTGTTGTATCCCTATCGATGGTCTGCTGCAGGCGTAAGCCCTTGGCTTTCTTGGCAGTATCCCGGATTATGGGGAGGATAACCTTACCGTATATCAGTTACAAGACCACAGAGTAATATGGATTTCATGTCCATTTTACTGTCCGCATGCGTGGTGGAACCTTATTGTGCCGTGAGCATCTTAGCTACATGAATATGAATGAGTGCGATGCAATGCAAAAGATTTAAAGATGGATGAAAAGCCCTTGGATCTCTGGTTAGTAGTGAACTTGTTCATCTTTTGTTTTGCGAATGTATACTCCCTAGGTACAGTACTCACTTCACTCACTCTTCTTTTTGAGTGAAACTCTTTCTATACTTGAGTTTGAAAGAAAAGACCACGAGACCTTTGTTGAAATTGCACATCTAAGGTTAGTAATCTACTATACACGCACATTTATTTATGATAATCCTACCTTGCAGTCCACACCGCCCAGCCACAGCATTTCATCAGAGGGGGCAGAATTCTGACCTATCCGAAACTATTCTTCAAAACGTGGATATTCATTGACTTGTAGAAACAGTCAACATTTTTCACAATTGAAGAATTGATTTCTTGATTATTGGACCAAGAGAAAAGGAGAATTGACTCGGAAGATCAGATCCCTTGATTTTGGTCATCACTACGGAAAAACTCGTACCACGGACCCTGCCTGATAACAACTCATAAAGGGAATTGGAAAAAGGGACTGAATGGCTCATATAGATCAGTTATTGTTCGATCAACGGAGCTGCATTTCATTTTTCATTAGATAACCCAGGTGGTTTCATTCCCTACCTACCTACTTTTTACCTTGAATCTCTTCTTGTTATACACAGCTGCGCAAACATACACAAAAGTTCAAACGGATTCCATACACCTGGAAACTCTTTCACAATGAAGTTCGGACGCACGTAAGTTCTCTCCATTTTACATGAAACCACCACAGTATACTCATATCTTTTAGTCTACCTGCTTCTCAGGTCCCGGAATGGTCATCATCATACATTAACTACAAGGGCTTGAAGAAACTTATCAAAGCTGCTGCGAACGCCGCGAAGGATGGAAAGAATGTTGATTTAGCAGGTGGGATTGTTACGTCATTCCCTACATACTTTCATTGTTTTAACAAATTCCGGCTTCAGAATTCTTCTTCTCACTCGATCGAAACCTCGAAGATGTTGATGCGTTTTATAATAAGAAATTTTATGATTCTTCCCGTCGACTTCATCTCCTCCAGCAAAGATATAGCGATGCGAAAGTCTACACTACACAGGGACTGGATCGTAATGAAGTCGAGGAGTTAATGGGAGCTCTTCTTGAGCTTAGATCTCAATTGAGAAAATTACAATGGTTTGGTGAAGTAAATCGTAAGGGTTTCCTCAAGATTACGAAGAAATTGGATAAAAAGGTACCAAATGCTTGTACGCAAGCAAGATATATGGCTTCGAAGGTCGACTTGAAGCCTTTTGCAGCGAATGTTGCTTTATCCAAAGCCATGAAAACGACAAATGATTGGATTGCCGTTTTGGGGGAGAAGAACATCAATGATGATGCCCTATCCGTTCATTCTGCACATTCAATCAAGAGAGCGTCATCAAGATCCATCCTTAATTTACCCAGCGCGCTAGTCGATACAGTCGATCAGGCTATTAGGAATGACGATCTACCAACCTTGAACGAAGCCATTGCCGGAGCGGGCTTTGACGCCGGTGATCAATCAATGCAAAAGCTCTTCTTGAACTTATTGCAACGATCCATGTCTTGCAAGTCCAAGGACTCAATTATCTACTTTTTGAAGATGATAAATTCTCTAGATGAACCAGACGACATCAATGAACGAAACTGTATTCATCGCTTGGTTATTTCTATCAGTCGTTCAAAAGCCGCCGAGAAGTCACAGCAAAAGGAGCCAGAGAGTCTTTCTTTTGAAGATGCTGATCGCTTCAGATTTATTACGCCAGCCCATTCACCTGATCCAGGACCAAAATCGAAAAAACTCCAAGAGTCAACACTTTTAAGTTTAGAAGATGAGTCCGTCAAACTTTTATCTTTTGTTTTGAGCAACTTGGAACCTCACCAGAGGTCAGCATTAAAAGGCAGAGATTCATATGGTCGTTTTCCGTTACACTACGCTGCGGAGTTTGGTTTTGTTGTCATTTGTCAATTGGTTATGAAATTCATGCAAGATTGGGGTCAATTCAATGTTGAAAATGGAATTGATGCGCCAGAATGGCAAGATGCTGAAGGTTTGGCACCTCTTCATCTTAGTGTGATTGGTGGCCATGCTTTGACAACCAAAGCTCTTCTTGATGGTGAAAATTGGAAGGGTACCAGTGATAATAAAGCTGCCATGAGACGAGATATTGCCAAGTCAAGTGCAGTTCTTGCTTTGGCTACAAAATCTAACTTCAAGAAAATTGTTGAACTTCTTGTCGATGCTGGAGTTGATATCAATTGGAAAGATGCAAACTCGAATAATGAAACTGCCTTGCATATTGCAGCACGAACTGGTCATGAGGAGTGTGCAGATATTCTTCTTCAAGGAACAGTGGATCAAAAAGCTGACTTTGAGCTAACCGAGAAGGTCTATTCTTGGACACCATTACACGTTGCTTCTGTTGATGGTCACCTCGGTATCGTGGAACTATTAATAGCAGCTGGTGCCGAATTATCAAAAGCTGATGCCGGAGGGTGGACAGCTAGAGAGCATGCAGCTTTAAGAGGTCATATGGATATTGCAGAAAGACTGGCATTTGTTGAAATGGAGAAAGGTACTTCCGGGAGTGACAAGTCCACACATAGTGACAGTGGCCCTTCATCCCCACCTAAAAACTCTTCGATCGAAACGTTTCGATCGCAGAGCTCAAACCCTCCTCGAGTTACCGAGCCCGTTAAGAGTTTTGGTCATCGATATCTCACAAATGAAAGTATGGTTCTTGTCAGCCTTGGTTCAATGGATATGAGGAAGAATATCCCAGCAGTAAAGTTGGAAAATATTCCTATCTCAGAAGCTCATTCCACTCAACTCGACACTGCTTTATCAATTGTGGTTTCCGCAAAAGGGGCCACAGGTGAACCTACTATCATTGATCTTCCAATTCACGATAATATTGCAACTGATCCTATCGTATTCACAACCCTAGATGCTTCTAAGGTCAAGCTGTACTTCGATATCGTACCAACATATGCTGGGAGTGAAAAGCATAAGATTGGGAGAGGAATGGCAATGCTGTCTAGTATTAGACCTACGATTGGCTTAAAACGCATGAACCTTCAAGGTGATGTCACTATCCCAATCATTTCCAAAGATACTTTGGAGGATATCGGAACTGTCAGCTTCAACTTCCTTGTTATTACACCGTTTTCACATCCAGAAATGGGAGTTACCGCACAACAAACATATTGGAAGGAATTATCTTCAACAATGGTCATTGGTCACAGAGGCCTTGGCAAGAATACTTCTGCAAACAAGTCACTTCAACTTGGTGAAAATACTTTACAGTCTTTCATCGCAGCTGCCAATCTTGGAGCTAATTATGTTGAATTTGATGTTCAACTTACAAAGGATCATGTTCCTGTCATCTATCATGACTTTCTCGTTTCGGAAACTGGAATTGATGCACCAGTTCATACTCTCACGTTAGAACAATTTCTTCATGTCAACGAAACTACATCTCGTTCGACTCGCCCTCCATCTCCTCCGAAAGATAGTCCACGAATTCAGTCCATTAAGAGAGGTATGGATCGTCAACGATCATTGTCTCTAGGCGAAGACATGTTCGAAAACGCAATGGCAGAAAGAATGAAACACACACGCGATTTCAAGCAAAAAGGTTATAAAGGCAATACCCGTGGAAATTTTATCCAAGCTCCTTTCACCACTCTCGAGGAAATGTTCCGTGAACTTCCTCAAAATGTCGGTTTCAATGTTGAAATGAAATATCCTATGCTTCACGAGACGGAAGAACAAGAAATGGATACTTATGCTGTGGAACTTAATAGTTTCTGTGATACTGTCCTTACAAAAGTGTATGACATGAAGCAAAAACGAAAGGTCATTTTTAGTTCGTTCAATCCGGATATTTGTTTACTTTTGTCATTCAAACAACCAAGCATTCCTATTTTATTCCTCACGGATGCTGGTACCAGTCCAGTAGGAGATATCAGAGCTAGTAGTTTACAAGAGGCAATTCGTTTTGCTAGTAGATGGAATTTATTGGGGGTGGTTAGTGCAGCAGAACCATTGTGTAATAGTCCGAGATTGGTAAAGGTGGTTAAGGATAGTGGATTAGTTTGTGTTAGTTATGGTGTTTTGAATAATGATCCTGTTAAGGTTCAGGTATGTTTTGGCTTATTTCTTTCCCTCCCCTTGCCTTGCCCTGTTTTCTCCTCTTTCCCGAGCATCCCTCACATCATCTATAATTTTCTTCATATCTACATGAGTATTTACTAACAGCAAAAATAGGAACAAGTAAACGAAGGCATCGACGCAGTAATCGTAGATAGCGTCTTGAAAATCCGAAATGGTTTGACGAAGAATGCTAAGGGCTCTGGTGCTGTAACGCCTGCTTGGGCAGAGGGTTTGTTGGGTGGTGTTAAGCTGGATGATAAGTAAAGTACAGATTTGAATATGGATGGATGGCTAGTTTGAGAGACGGGTTTTCTGGGGTACGGGGTTTAAGCAGTTTTTTGAGCGGGGCTTGGAAGTTGATAGAGGTTGGGCGAGAAGAGGTGAGGGGAGAAAAGAAGAGGGTGGGGAATATTTGTGGAGACTTTCAGCTGGTGTGCATAATGTTTGGCTGTTGTTGTTTGTATAGTTAGATGTGGAGTAAGTAGTAGAGTAGAGGGGGATCGGAGTAGAGAAGAGTAGAGGCGAGTAGAGAATAGTAGTATGAAACGAAATGAAATAAAGCATATCAAAAGTAATACTAAGATTCTTGTCGTTCTTTAAATAAATATATAAAGCTTCAAGAAGAGATGAAGAAATTATAAATAAAGTAATATTATAAAATTATAATATGAAATATATATATATATATATATATATTTCAATTTCTTTTATAATATCAATGATATTTATTTAATAAAATTCATTTCTTATTTCTTATTTTTTATAAATTTTATTCTTTTTACTTCTCATTTCTTATTTCTTGTTTCTAGTTCTGTTTACATTTATATGATTTATAAAATGCGTTTAGAGTCATTCATATATTCATCCACCCACGAACCCACTATCTAAACTCCTTCATAAACCCCTCATGAAACCTCGTAATCCTACCCACCCACTCTGTACCCGGAGCCAAAAACGTCGTTCTGAAATGCAACGTATTTTCCCTCTGACCAAACCCACTTCCAGGCACCACACAAACACCCGTCGACTCGAGTAATTTATGACAATAGTATTCATCTGCGGTCATGTGCTCTTTCTTCGCAGCTTCGACTGCTTTTTCAGGTAGGTTGATTGTGGGGAATAAATACATACTTCCTTGAGGTTCGGGACATTCGACACCTTCCATTTGTGCAAAGGCTTCGTAGAGTGCTGTGGCGCGTTTTTGGAGTCCAGAGAATATGTTGTTGTATTCTTGCGTGTAGAGTTCGTAGGATGGTTCGCCTTGTTTGGGTGGATTGACCATGAGCTCTACGAGACATTGTCCGATTACTGGCGCGCATAGACTGATACTGACGAATTTGTATATCTGTTCTACGACCTCGGGATCAAAACCACAGAGTTCGAAATAACCACCTCGGTGTCCACATTCGCCCACCATTCCTTTGGATATACTATGGAGAGAAGCAAGTTCGACATTGTCGTATTTTTCTGGGGTTTTGGATTGAAGATCGCGGAGGATTTGTTTGAAGGAGTGGAATTTTCCTTTAAAGACGTTGGTCTGGTAAACTTCATCTGCCATTACTACCAATTTTTTCTCGGCGGCAAATTCAATAACTGCTTCGATATCTTGAGGTGGTAGACTTGCACCGGTTGGGTTACCGGGATTGATTATGACAATTGCTCGGACATCGGTTCCTTCTTTAACAGCGGAGGCGTATGCGTCTTTAATGGCTTGGAGGTCGGTACCCCAACTGCGAGCTTCGTCAAGGTAGTATGGAACGCATTTTGCGTTGAGGACAGAGAGGGAAGCAGTATATAATGGGTATTGTGGGATGGGTACAAGAACACCTGTATTAGGGCCGGCACAGATTACGTGAAGGAGGGTGTTAACTCCAGAGGAAGCACCGGCGGAAAGGTAGACATCTTTTGGGTCTGAAGGAAAGCCATCTCGATCTTAGGAAGAGGTTAGTGATGTCAGTCATGAAATATTAGAAATGGCAAAAACATACTCTCAATAAATCTAGCCACACTATTTTTAATTCCTGTAGCACCAGCACTGGCACTATAAGCACCCGCACTTCCAACTTCCTTTAGTAACCACCTCGCTCTCTCAATAACATCCTTCTTATAGCCCAACTGATTCAATAACACATCCTCCTTCTCCAACAATGGTGGATATTCAATCAGACTCAAGACTTGTCTAAAGAAAGTAATAGGTTTCTGATCCAATTGTTGAGGATTTCCAATATTGGCATTTATGACAGTATCGAATGGAAGGTCCTTATCGCCTTTTGCGAGCTTAGCTCTGTATTCTTCAGATTTAACTGCGAGAGCACCACGAACGGCATATTTGGCTTCTTTGATATGGGGATTGATATTATTGATGTTTAAGCTTCGGAGAGAAGTAGTGGTAGACATGGTTCTGGTTCGTGGTTGTAGTGATGAGCGGGAGTGAAGAGAATCTATGATGAAGTAGATGATTAGAGGTTTGGTTTAGTCTACGTGCTTGCACTTGTATAGTCTAACCCTGAGCAACGTGAATTAAATGCAGAAAAGGAATAAACAGGCGATGAGGAAGAAGAAGAAGAAAAAGAAGAAGTATATAAAATAAAAAGGTTGAAAAGTAATAACGTGTACCAGGACAGCACAGTCATCGCATGATCATAACAGAGTAATGACAAGGTATGGATGACATCGCCCCCCAGTAGTCAGAGCTCCAATATCAAGCCGATATTCGGACCCATTCGTCAAACTTTTTTCCCGACTCAGGACTCAGGGTAAACAAATAAATGAAAACAACTTCATACGTATGTACGTACCTGCAGCAATTGATCTCGACAATCGAGATATGGATGTAAGATTAGATATATATTGTCTACTACATCTTCTCGCACCCGTACGCAATGAAGCGTGAAGAGAAGCCATTGTGCAGACCTCAAGTGTTTGTCGTTATTCGTATAGGTAGGGAGATATGTGAATTAGACGTAGCCAATTGGAAAGCTGGAAAGTCGCACGTAACGAATGGGGTGATGTGAGTCGCAAGGAATGACTAGAGGCCTGGTGTGCTGATACTACACACACAGTGATGCATGAGAACGGCGTGGTTTTCTTTAGCTGACGACAGAGGCTGATAATATCATCCGATGTGGGTGAACCGATGGTAAAGGGACAATGTAAGGTAAGGTAAGGAGAGAAAGAGTGAATGGCTGGTAAACCGTACGTGAGAGAAAGAGAATGCAGCAGAAGCAGAAGAAACCACGGTTGAGGTTAAAAGAAATTGGTTGAGCTTCGTAGCTTCGTAGCTTCGTAGCTTCAAAGACCTCAGACACCGATAAGAATTTTGATAAGTATGAAATTGATCTACCCGTGCTCCACATCCAGTTCTGCGAGTACCGTACCTTCCTTGTCTTGTATGTATGTAAAATTGTAGCGGAATGTCGTGATGGAAGGATGTTTTAGTCCTCGAACTCTGGAGAATAGTCTCCCTGCATATGAACCAAGCAAACTTCAGTATAAATGACAATATCAGATGTGTCAGCTCAAGCAATCATTGTTCGTACCATCACACACGTGGAAAAGACGTTGAATTTACGATGCTGTCATACATACGGAGTATTAGTGGCTGAAATACTGACAGGTTGCGCGAATATAAATATTCCATACATCTGGGAAAGTACACAGGAATAAATGTAGGACTGCGAATCTCATTGGATATTTATCTACCATTGACAAGCCCATTGCATGATATCTATTTTCGACCCAATCCCATATATGAAGGATTCTTTCATTCTAAACCTACGCCCACGATGCAAAACCAGACGACTGAAATAACTCCTGTGAAACCCAATGCTATGGATTTGAAGGAGGTCCAATTCAAGCTGAGACTCCAGATTGAAGTACCTGCATCATCTAACGATAAAAATTCGAAAATCTTTGAAATCTTCGTGGACAGCTTAAACCTTATAGAAGCAAAAGCCCACGTAGAAGCTAGCTGCTTCCATTTCCTCATCACTAACGAGAAGCTTTCCATGGCCTCTTTCCCTAACATTCATACGCTCACTGAGAGGACCTAATACATCATCATCCTTTTCGGTTTCCCAGATCTGGTTGAAAGGCTTTTGATATTGTAATTCAAGGTTGTAATCTTCGGCAATCGCACGGAAAGCTTCCCACGGTACGACATATTCTGGAACCTCTTCCACCGCCTCGTGAAGGAAAAAGTTGTATTTCCAGCCAAAGGGTGGCTTAAAAACACCGTCAGTAGGTGTTTTACCTGGGAACCGGACCTGATAAACGTCATTACCCCAGTGAGCTGTATCTTCGGCTTCACCTTCCTCAATTTCACCATCCTCGGCATTGTCTTCGTCCTTGTCCTCGGCATTCTCACCATCACCATTTTCTGTGGCCTTTGCCTTTGCAGCAACCCCACTGTGAAATTTCTCAATCTTATCCGATATGACATGTGAATTGGGAATACATCCAATCAGCCTACCACCTTTCTTCAATGCACCCGAGACATTCTTCAACATGGTTCTAGCCTTTGCCTCGTTTTCGAACGCGTAATGTAAGCAAAACATCATGCTGACCACGTCAAATCCACCACCACCGAATCGACCCGGTCCTCCCGAACTATCAAAACCAACATCCCGAATAATCGGAATCCTTTCGATTGATTCACCAAAGCAATCTTGAGTGAAGAATTCTCCGTGAAAGATTCGAGCTGGTTGTCTGGTGTACCCTCCTCTGCCTCTACCGCCTCGTCCGCCACCTCTGCTTTTCATTTCGCGATATCGTTCCTTAGCTTGATCAATCGAGATATCCGCTGGATCCAATCCAACATATAATTCCACCTTTTGTGGTGCTTGTTGCCATTTTCCTAAATCACCACCTTTACCACAGCCAATATCGAGAACTAGCAAACCTTTTTCTTGACTCGGATCTGGTCCTTCCGCGAATTGGTATTCCCCACGCGATCCACGTTCTTGTGCTCCTGGGGTATAATCTTCATTTGGTGAGAATTTCTGAATGATCGTGCTTTTGACCCAGTTATTAAAGCTTCTCAAGCCCTTGATCTTACTATCCGTCTTGCGCCATTCTCTGCCTCGTTGTGGGACCGCATTATAATGCTCCCTGACTGCATTATGAATTCCTTGAGCGGCTGCGATAGCTGCCGCTTCCTTTTCACGTTCAATTTGCTGTTGTCGAATGGCTTCGCGCTCGGAATCGCCAATTCTTGCTCGTTGGCCAGGACGTTTTTGCTTCCGAACCGGTGAAGGCGATCTACGACTCTTGTAGACATCAGAAGGAGATGGTGATCTTGCAACACGTTTTGCGCCTTTTGTAGGTGAACTTGATCTTTTGCGTTTCTTTGCGGCTTCGAGCTTCGTAGCATTAAAAGGCTGAGGTTGTTCCTCTGGACCACTATCATCACCAGCCATCTTGTATAGCACCTTTGAAAAGTGTAAGGATCTTTTAAAGATTGTAAAATATACTTTGATGGAATAAAGTTGTGATGATTTGTTGCGCTTCTTTGTTCTAGATCAGTATTTTGTTGAAGAAAAAGTAAATTCAAGAACAAAGGTTGTAGACAAGATATAGACAAGATATAGACAAGATAAAGCAATAAGGTAAGGTAAGGTTTAAGGTGAACCACTTAAACCCCGAAAATGACGGCGGCCAAAATTTAGCCTTGCCGGCCTCGCGTCACACTAGTGCCTGGAATATGGAAGGTAGCTAAGAGCTTCATATGATACGAACCTCATAGCAACAACCAAATCTTTTACTTCTTACAAATCGTATCTCAATCACAATTGATTTCCTTTCTCCATACCCTTTTTAAATCCCATACAATAAACAGCCGCCAAGATGGGTTCTGATCCTCAATACGCAAAGTATCCTCTACTGCCCATCGCCCAACACATCTTCACCATCACAAACCCATCCGCCTCCAAAGCAACCCAACAAACATCTTTGAAAAGTCTCCAAGATGCAATTACCGAACATAAGATGGCTCCTCTTTACAGATACTTGGCACACCCACAAGATGGTATTTTGAACGATGCTGGAGTTACAACTTCGAGTGCGACGAGTGCTATTGGTAGAAAACCAAGTGCAGCTGGATTAGTGGCGAGCAAAAACTCAATACCAAAGGTTGATTTACCGTGGGATGAGGCTTTATATCAGAAATTAACAAAAGAGAACGATGAGGAGTTAGAGGGGTTCAAGAAGGAAGAGGAAGAGGCGGCAGAAAAGGCGGGGGAGACTGAAGTACAAGCTGCTAGAGGGAAGCGGGCAGAATTCTGGGCTCGAGTTGGAGACAAGGTATGAATGTTTGCGGTATGATACTTCATGAAATACTAATATATGAAATTACTAGGACCGAGCGATTGCTGCATACGAAGAAGTATTTGAGAAGACTGGTGTTTTAGGAACCAAGATTGATCTTGTCCTTGCAATTATTCGCATGGGCCTGTTTTATGGCGACAAGCTATTAGTCAAGAAGCACGTCGACCGCGCAAAGGCATTAGTAGAGAGTGGTGGAGATTGGGATCGTCGAAACAGATTAAAGGCATATACTGGACTCTACCTCTTGACTGTCAGATCCTACAACACTGCAGCACCACTTCTCCTAGACAGTCTCTCCACTTTCACCAGTTACGAACTCTGCTCATACTCATCCCTCGTCGTATATTCCGTTCTCGCTGGTTCCGTCTCGCTCAAGCGTGTTGACTTCAAATCTAAAGTCGTCGATGCTCCGGAAATCAAGGCCATTCTCGGAGATGGTGAGGATAAACTTCTAGCATTATCAGGAGCCATTTCAGCAGGTCCTGGTGCTGATGAAGATATGCAAGATGTCACAGTAGCAGCTCCATCCGCTGCTAAAACTGCAGTAAATCTCACTACTCTCGGCACAGGCACAGATGTTCAAGAAGCAGAGGCGGCACTCGATTTCTCTCCTCTGGCTCAACTTGTTTCAAGTCTATACACTGGTAGTTACCGTTCATTTTTTGGTGCTCTCGCCGCGGTTGAGGTAAACTTTCTTACTCAAGATCGTTACCTCTATGAGCACCGTGGTTGGTTCGTTAGAGAGATGCGTTTAAGAGCTTACCAACAACTCCTTCAAAGTTACCGAGTTGTAGGTCTTGAGAGTATGGCAAATGATTTCGGTGTTTCAGTAGATTTCCTTGATCGGTATGTTTTTATTTCCCTTTCAGTGCCCTTACCCTGCCTTCCCTCTTCGACTTCTCTTTAACTCCATGAATGCACATTATCTAACACAAACCCCGAATAGCGACCTAGCAAAATTCATCGCCGCAGACCGTATCCCCTGCACCATTGACCGCGTCACCGGCAAAGGCATCATCGAAACCAACAGACCCGATGATAAAAACAAGCAATACAACGATGTCGTCAAGCAAGGTGATCAGTTGATCACTAAGTTACAGAAATATGGACAAGCGGTTAGATTGAGGGGGAGTGAAAGAGCTTAGGGATTAGAAGCTATGAGTTGGGGGATGGGGTTAGAACTGGGAAGGAAAAGAGATACCAGAGATGAAAAGATGAACTTGCATGCTTGCGTGTATGCTTGCATCAATACCCACCTACAGACATATATTTTTGTAAGATTACGATAATTACAATCTTATGATGGCATAGAATGAATCTATGAATGGATCTTTGAGTGAGTGATTGAATGAATGAATGGGGATGTGATATGTGTCATAAATAACTGGTTTGTCTTCTTCACTACGAGTATAGTGAAATAATAGAGATTAAACTGGGTATCATTCAATTAATCACAAGCTTGCAAACTATACCTAACTATAACTCATACCCCTCACCCTTACCTATATCAACGATATTTCTTTTCCATCCATTGCTTTCGTTGTGTCTGAGGATTCCTATCGATCAGGAAGTAAATACCTAGTATCTTAGCAAGGTACTAAGACTAAGACTAAGACTTCATTCCATCAGTGGTTAGGTATTGGAAGGAAAACAATATACGAATTGTAAGTGCAGTGCATCCCCAACAAGACCCCTTCATAGTGCTATGCATGCAAAACCCTTCATTTCTCAGAGCCACACAACTCTCTCTATCCGACGTACCACGTCCTCCTCCAAATCATACCCGCCGCCACGACCGCGCAAGCTGTCGCGCCAACCGCAATCCAGACACCTGTTCTATCTGGCGCCTCTTCCTCGCTTTTTGGAAACGCTTTTGATGGATCTGTCGCTGCTTCTGCTAGTGTAACAAAAAGTTCACTAATGCTATGCCACGTGACGCTTACATGGACTGGGGCGTTCATGTTCATGAGCTGAGCGTATTCATCTGGTTGTTTTTCGCATCTTTGGGTTGTTTTATCGAGATCGGCTTTGAGGGCTGTGCAGATCGAGGGGAGGGATGAGAGGGCGGGATATTTTTTATGTAGGTTGATTATGTGGGAGAAGGAGTCCGGATCGGAGGAATCGTAAGTGTAGCAGAGGAGATCACAGGCGTCTAGCTTGGCTTGGTTTTCGAGGATGGCCGGTTCGAGTTCACCGAGCTCTTCGAGGATTAGATAACACTGTTTGCCGCCTGGAAGTTCGACGCTGTTGACTGCAACGCGCGGTTTGATGGTGGGGCGGTAGAGGTGGTCAAAGGGACGGTTGAGGAAGGCATCGAGGATGGAGGATTTTCCTGACGAGGGGGAACCAAGGACGTAGCAGAGAACTACGTTTCGCTCGGTGCGGACAGGTCGACGTCGTCTTTTGCGAGGTTTTGTTATTTTGAGGGCGGTGGTTGTAGAAGGTTTGCCAGGCGTAGGCTCGAAACCCAGGTAGGCTAAGTAGGAGAGGGTAGTGGCAGGACTAACAAAGGTTGTCATAGACCATTGAGCTAGCCAACCTTGGAGAGTTATGTGCCCGGCTTCATTGCGAACTGTAGAAGCTGGGAAGTTCGAATCGAGCCAATGTGATGGAAGCCCCGGAGTAGGTGCAAATAGCGCATTCAATTCGTTATCGTTCAAACCTCCATCGTTGTCTTTGTCGAACAACAGAAAGAGGTCGACGAAGAATCGATATCCAGCGGGACTGAGTTCTGCAGAAGCAAATTCGGGAATATCGAGTTTAGGATGAAGGAAACTATCCTTCAAGCTCAGGCTGTCCGTATAGTGATATTTCCGTAGAATAAGCCATATAGTCTCATGTCTGCCCTTTTCCGCAAATATTTTGTTGAGGTGAATGAACCCTTTTTGATCAACCCCTCTTTCCATATTTGAATTTGGCGAAGCCCTACTTATCGACATCTTAATATTCTCGAGATCAGTGGGGGCCAATGGCTTTTCAAAACACCTGACTTGAAAGTCTTGCATTTCCTGGTCATTTAAATATCCATCCTGATCTTTATCATTCAAGTAAAATATCCTATTCAAAGCCGCAACACACGCAGGCTTCAATATACCTTCCTTGGAATCGAAAAGTGGTGCAATTGGATGTGTAACGGCTTTTTGACATAGGAAGAACACTTCATTGACATTGTGATGTTCCCTAGCACTCGTCCGTATACAAGAATCTATTTCTTTAAACTCTGCCATCACTGGTAACATTTCATCCTCCACCACTTGTGCCGTGTTTGCATTTGTAGTTGTGTCAGATTTATTGGCACATAATACTACCGGTACATTCACACCCAAGGAGCGGAAGTATGGCATCCAGAATAGAGCCACTCTTTCATAGCTGTAGTGATCCGAGTATACCAAAAGTATAACATTTGATTTCCTTATTTCTTTGCGCAATGTATTTCGTTCTTGAGGTTCGGCAGATGTATCGACAATCGTTGTGGTAACATTTTCTGGAGTACCAATACTTGGAGGTATGGTGATTTGAGGGAGAACTGATTGAATTTTGTTCGTAACAAATACATCTTTGACTAGTGATGTGATGAGACTCGATTTTCCAGTCCCATCATCTCCGCAGACACATATCCGCACTGTTATATGCATGGTTAGCATAGGGCAGGACCAAGAGTGAAGAAAGCTTTCAAGAGAAAGGTATCTAACCTGTAGCCATATTTCTAGCCTTGTATGACGAGGCTATTACACTTTCATCCTTGCTCGGAGCTACCAGTACTGGCGAAGAAGCCAATAATAATAAGACAAGCTCTCCAATATAAAGATATAAAGATACGTACGTTGGGGTTAATGGAGCTTCTTAAAGCTGCGCGGTACTTTGTGTTGATGAGATTAATGCGTAGCTGTGTGACTGTGCTCCGTACAGAAAATACTCGGACAATCAAATCCGAGGGTTATTATTTTCAGATGAAACGATGGAACCTTTCCTTTCCTTTCTCCACGTTTAATATTTAAGACTGGCGACGTTGACAATGCCCCGTGCCATGCTTGATGAATGTGTAAGAGAGAGAAGTCGATAACCTTGCACTCTCCTTTCACTTTCTTACATCATTCTACACATTTTGGTCAAATTGAATTGAACTTTCCTGTTGTATATGTACAATCATCCAATCTTTTGTATATTTCAATCATTCACATATATGATCCCTTCAGATCATCAATCGCTTTATCTTTACATAAACTGGGTGAGATCTTCAGGGTCATTATACAAGCATCTTACCCCACACTTTCGTTCCTGCAGCCCCCAAAATACTAGCTTCATACATTGTTAGTTGATGTTGGTTGTTGTTGTTGTTCACAAGGAAACTCAACCTTAATACCTTCCTTTCTCATATTACTTTACATCCCGTCCATCACACTTAATCTTTAGCCTTGGATTGATTTGAGCCTGGTCAAGTAGTACCGGCACACACAATACTATAGCCGTCATGTTGTAAGTGTCGCATTCGAATTTATCCAGAGTGTGCATCGAATGAACTCGTGCCGAGATTACCAATGGGTGTTGCATTGTGTCGCATAGCTGATGATGAAGATAGTGTGTTACCCCCACCGCCGCGATATCCATCGCAGGCAGCGTATAATCTGGCTGTTCAAAATGGGATGGCTGCGCCGATGATAGAGACGAATAACCTTCTCAAGCACCCTGAGGGACTACAATTGCTTGCTGGTGAAGGTGAGCTTCCAATCGCGAATGTCTAGCCACTCAATGCTCAGATCATCTCTTATAGGGACATACTTGCTGCAGGACGACCTACATCTTGCGACACCTCCTCCACATCCCTCCGAAACCCCGAATTTAAATCCAAATCCACTATCTACAGCTCCACAAGCTGCAACGGCTGGGACGAAACTCTCTCTCCTTTCCTTTAGCACGAAGCCTTCCGCACCCCTTTTATACAGGCTCGATACGAACAAAAGTTCCAGGACGGGATTGGCTCAATCGAGTATACAGGAACATCCATACGAAAATCGCAATTCTTCTGAGGTACCTGGAAGTAGTGATGGTGGAGGGACTTCAGTCAATGGTAGTGCAAGAGTTTCGCCTTCAATTGGATCTGCACCGGCGTTCGGAGAGGGAAATTCGTTGTTGTCATTTACAGGTAAAGATACTGGAAAACGTCGCAAACCAAAGAGTGGTATTTTGAAGAGTAATTCTTCATTTATTTCACGATGCATCGTACATGAAAATTTGGTCAAAAGGCTGCAGGATCGTCCAATTGATGGATATTTCGCGTTTGCAAACATCAATCGGGCTTTTCAGTGGCTTGATTTGTCTTCTCCAAATAAAGTGAGTTCTGTCGCAATTATGGGAATTCATGGAATATCAAATGCTCATAACAATAACAGCAAGATCATCTCCTCAAAATTCTTTTTACCAAAGCCCATTGCCTTTGTCATGATGTCAATCAAGTCACTAAAGGTCCAAATCATATAGACATTATAATGGGATTTTCAACTGGCGAAATTATCTGGTTTGAGCCTTTCACACAAAAATATTCAAGGTTGAACAAAAATGTAAGCAATATTCCCGCCATAAAATTTACTAAAAGTTTGACAAGATCAGTGTGTCATAAATTCAACGCCAGTCACACAAATCAAATGGATTCCTGGTTCTGAGAATTTATTCCTGGCATCTCATATGGATGGATCTTTAATTGCATACGACAAGGAGAAGGATGACGCAGCCTTCGTACCAGAAGAGGCTGGACCTGATACTAATGGCAGTGTTCCAAGTGAAGAGAATTTAGACCCAACTTCAATGCCGAAAGCCAAACTTCAGATCGACAAATCAGTCCATTCAAAGAACCAAAAATTCAATCCTGTTTCATACTGGAAGCTTTCCAATCAACCAATCAATAATCTCGCTTTCTCGCCTGACAACAGGCATTTGGCTGTCGTGTCTGAAAACGGTACTTTGCGAATCATTGACTATTTGAAAGAGCAGTGAGTAAGATGCATCTCCCTAAATCTCTCATGCTGACCCCCTTAGATTACTCGATATCTACAATAGCTATTTTGGTGGCTTGACTTGTGTTTGCTGGTCACCTGATGGCAAGTATGTTCTTACCGGTGGTCAAGATGACCTTGTTTCTATATGGTCCATGGCAGATTCCGCCATCATAGCTCGCTGCATTGGCCATACATCCTGGGTTACAGATGTAGCTTTTGACCCATGGCGTTGCGATGATCGAAATTATCGTTTTGGTAGTGTGGGTGAGGATGGTAAACTCTTGTTATGGGATTTTAGCGTTGGAATGTTGCATCGTCCCAAAGCCGTAAGTCCTCACTCCGTCACATTTCAAGCTGGTGCAGCACATGTCAGCTAATGTTAAATTAGGCCTCCGTTCGTCAAAGAGGTAGTATCTCTTCTCGAATGCCTAGTTCCCTTCAAAGAGTTGAAACTCAGGGCACAACAGCTACCGCCGGTCGATTTCGCTCAAACTCAAATCTTTCCATCACCGATGGACAATTAGATACGGTGGATCATCCAGTAGAACCAAGGGCAAAGATTTCCATTCTACCTGCCGTATGCACGAAGACTGTTGCCGATGACCCAATTTGTTCATTGGCATTTACAGAGGAACATATTATTACAAGTGATAAGAGTGGTATGGCTGTCTCCTTATTCATGTTTCGATGATTTTTTGTAGGCACCTGGAGCTAACACTAGAACAGGACATATCCGCACTTGGAACAGACCAAAGGATCACGAAGAAGCTGATGACGAGGATGCTGATGTGGTAGCACCATCTCAAACTTTGTAAATCAATTACTAGAGCATGAGCGTCAGGAGTAAATATGTGTATATTGTTTGACGGAGTAGTAGTCCCTCACTTCAGTTAAAGCTAGATTTGGAGTTGTGGCGAGCTTGGGTAAAGAGTAGCTAGGCGCAATCTTAGGTTGAATTAGGTACAACGTCATAAGGAAATATCAGAGAATACTTTAAAGAAAAAAACAGATTGTGAGGAGTGTGTGTACATTGTTTGGCGTTGAATAATTTTATCAATACACACCTACCTGCGTACATACCTAGTTGCGTCACTAGTAGTTTGTCGGGTAATTCAACGCGAGTAGGTATATAGCTAGGAGACATCTCAACATGAAGGCGTAACTTGCTAGGTTAGAACTAATTAGCTGACTAAGCGATTCGGTTACGGAGGCAATTTGACTGCATCCCATGTTCATGTTTATATTCATATACATATTCATATTCATGATTATGATCAACTACCTCAAAAGGATTTAAGTAGTTTTGGAGAGGAGGTTTCGAACTGCGTTTTCGTATTCACGATAGCAAATTTGATGATGGGGGAAGAAGATTAGTGTCTATCGTTGAAAAAAAAGCCTAATGACGTTGGAGATATCGAATGCTCTAATACAGCTATGATAATCTTACAATGAATGTATCCAGGCCTCCTGCGCCAACTTTGCCGGGTGATCAATATCCATTTAACGACCATCAAGCTGAATTAATCTCTTTAAAAGTTTCGCCACTATATGTATGCATGAAGGAAAGAGATACGCCAACTTCTCGCGATAATCATCGTGGTTCACCCGCTCTACAACTTTCGCGATTTCGCCATATAATATGCAAAAATAACTATAATACCGCCTTCTTAATGACCTAGGATGAATTTCTGGGGAAGATATATTGACTGTCAGCTCTCGAGTGATGCAAGTGTTTGAGAAGTAGTTGCTCAATATCCCTACCATTACGCCGCAAGCTCTAAATTGCACAAAAGGCCCTACTATTGACCAGATGCTAAACCAGAGAAAGACAAATTAAACTCAACTTATTAGAGTAAATCAGACCATTCTGGCATATCCTTGATGAAAGCTAACATTAATCTTTCAAGTGAGTTTGCACGCTTGCAATAGACTGTTCCTGGTCTGTTGTACTGTCTGCAATTTTTGATAATCAACTTGACATCATCCACGAAAGACTTTGGTGTATCATAAAGACCTTTGTCTAATTTTTGACCCATCGTCTGTAAATCCATTGGATGGGTAATCGTCGCATAATAATCCGGGACCAAATCTCCATCAACAGGCTCGAGGAAAGGCCATGCTTGCTTACTACGCGTTAAGTGAAACAAGAAATCTCGAAGTGAATTGCTATGAGGTCTCGGTTTGTTTTCTCGTGCAAACGCATCCATTGCTGGTGACCAGCCAGATTCTCGTATGCCGGGAATAGAATAAGGATCGATGGGTTTAATGGATCCCCTTGCCCATTGCGCGGGAGGAGGATGTACAACTTCGTTTCTTTTTGCGGCGGCGATTTTAGCTAGGAGAGTTTCCTTTTGCTTACGAATCATGCGAGCTGCTTCGACATAACGAATTTTAGGGAGTAACGTGCATTGCATCAGACTTGATTCGACGTAGTCTTTGATAACACCAACCCATATACTCTCATCGAGAGTAATATCTCTTGTAAACCCTTGCTTTTTGAAGAAACCAATGGCGGTAAGATCGGCATATGCGAGGACCTCCATCACTCTTTCCGCGTACGAAGATTTAATCTCATCTTTAAAATGGTTTACCAAGTGCGATCCATACCCTCCGCCGTGGTATTTTGTAGAAATAACAAGATATACCATCTCAACGAAATTACGTTTTTCTCCCCAGACACGGTAACAGATACCGCCAATTACCTTGTCAATTTGTTGGGGGATTCCGCCATTTTTACCCTTGGAGCTTTTATTCGACTGCTTCTCCTCGATCTTTTTGATCATGACGAGTGATGTATGTGTAGGATCAAGAACTGATTTTGCGATATATGCTGGACTCATACTTCGGAGTGTCTCTCGAATTATTTCTTGAAAGCCTGTGAGAGTGATAAAACTCTTTTCACTTCCGTCATTCTTGACAGTTTGGAATTTGATCACGCCGTTTTTCTCTTCCGTGATTGCTTTCTTTGGATAGGTATATTAGTTTGGATACTTGTTGAGATTCGGGAAGAGTAACTTACACTGTCCATCTTTGCTGATAGCTTAGCAATGTAGAAAATATCGGTTTTGAATGCTGCGGGAATGAGTTGTTCAGATCTGGGTGTAGAACTTGATGTGTTTAATATTCCATATGGACTATGGAGTGAACTGTGAAGTGTATTGTGAAGTGTATTATGAAGTGAGCTGTAAACTCATATACAGCTAGCACTAACTTAACATGGCCCATGGTATCCAAGAGACTACCCGAATTAGGAATAAATTTTTTTCAAATCTTAAGTTCCAAGTTTTAAATTTTAAGTTCGAGATTGGTGAATGCCAGTACGGTAAATAAATGAGCTGAGTTTTGTGTAACCCAGTGCATTGCTCTTTAATTTTTTCTTGAATGACCCATGAGTATCTGTTTGGCTAATTCTGTTTGTCGAAAGATATGTGGGAAGGAGGTTAAGGGAAATTTTCTCTTTCTGTACGGGAATGAGTTACTTTTCTGGGCGATATGGGTAGGTGGTACTAAGATTACTGGTCATTCGCAACTGCTCATATGGTTTGAATACCTATAAGAGAAGCTTCGAGGCTGACATGGCAAAATTGGAAGGAGGAACGTTCGGGCAATCTCGATGGGACTCGAAAGAGGATATTAAATTGAGGAGGATAAAGAGGAGAAAACAGTTGGAGAGCTTACCTGTTAAGTATAGGATATCCAACAGATTATCCTTTTCCACTGAGTTTTGTATCAACTATCATAGTTGAGCCATGCGTTATCTACAAAATAAGTCTAGTGCTCTACTTTCGGGCCACCCTCAATTTGGGCCACTCTTTTACATCAAAAATCGTCATTTTCAATTATTAATAACTTTATAATTAATTAATATAATCTTATAAAATTTGAATTATAAATTTATCGTATAATTATTAATAGATTTCAAAAATTTGAAAATTTTCATTATTGAATTTCATTGAGATTTGAAAGATTAAATTTTAAATTTTAATTTATATAGAATTTATATATAAATTCAAAAATTATTATAATCTTCAATAACTTTTCAATAAAAATAATTAAAATAAATTATAATCTTTTTGAATATTTATATTATAATCAATTATAAAATTAATTTATTTTAAAAATAATTTATAAAAATTCTTTTAATTAAAATGTTATTATTTTTTAATAATTTTAATTAAAAGTTATTTTAAATTTATATATAAATCTTATATAAATTAAAATTATAATTTCACTTTTAATTTCTTAATCAATAAAATCGTGAAAAATTCAAAATTTTAAAATTATTAATAATTATAAAATAAATCTATAATTAAAATTTCAATTAATTTTATTTATTTATTATTAAAATATTAATAATTGAAAATGATTATTTTGATATAAAAATAATTAAAAAAAGTAATTGAAAAAAAATATTAAACTTATATATAATTAAATTATTATTTTATAAAAATATATAATAAAAATCTTAAAGAGAGTAAATCTTGAATTAAAATAAGAAAAAAAAATATATAAAACTTTTTATATTTATAATCCGGAAATACTATACAGAGCTCTTTATAAAATCAGATGTCTATAACTTGAAAATATAAAGAATGGCAATTTTCAGAAGCTCTATGTTATATCGCACCAACCTGAACTTCACCTTTAAGCCAGTAAAAATGATCAACTGCATATTGTGCTTTAGCTTTCTCCGTTGTCACTAGCCCGTGTCAAAATATATAGGTTCCATCCCCACTCAACCATTCACCCGACCGCTAGTCATAAATATAAATAAAAGATAGCTTAAAGCCCATCACCAACATCCCCGGATCGTGATCCAAGTCGTGCTAGAAGTTAGGACTGTCTTACTCACCGCACTCCTCATGAACGCATTCGATTGCGAGAAGCCTATGTATCCATTTCGACCATCCCATCCGAATTATCTGAATCACTTATGATGTCTACACCCATCAAAATTAACTCTTCCTTTGCTGGTCAATGCCTATCGTACGTGAGTCTTTGATATCCAGCCGGTCTTTGTTGTATTAATGCCTTTTTGCGTAATGCGTTGATGTAATCACTTTCATCGAGAATTGAGGGTAGAGGACTTTTGTCGAAATCGCAGTCATCTTCCGAAGTCGAACACGTAAAAGAAGAGGAACTATTCCTATTGGGGCTGTAAATACGCGAGCGTTTAGATGATTCTTCCACTTCGTCATCAAGGTTTGAAGTAACTCGGCTGCGTTTGGTCGGACTGTTGCTACGAGAGGCAACCGCTTTTTTCGCAAGTACAACAGGATTCGATAGTTCCACCTCAGATCGTCCATCAGCACCTACTTGAATAACCAATCGACTGTTTGATGTTCGAGAAAGGAAGCCAGAGAGAAAAGGAAATATCGTCCATGCAAACCTTGCAAATAGAAATTCCAAACCGCATGCATGTATATGGATGCAGGTATTGTGGTAGAGTTGTCCGACATCCACTGTTGGCTGTAGCATATGTACAACGAACGGATTGGGACCGTTATCTCTTGGGAAGAATACAAGTTTGCGTTGATCGAAAATTGTATGCATATCGGAGCGTAGTAGTACTGCGTTGCTGAGATCTCTCAAAAGATTGATCGTTATTATATTTTGACATATCATTCGAATCGAACCATTTCTTTTCGTGTTGCGGAATCTAATGCGCACTCTCAATTCTAGTTTGAAATGCAGTAACTCGGCAGATAGCATCTCGGCAGTTCGGGCTAGCACCTTGTACGCTCTCGCATCTTTGCCAGATCTCTGGTAGGTTTTCAGGAAACTTCTAATCTTGAAAATTGGTAACAATGGGCCATCGGTTTGGGGTTTTCTGTGGCTCGAGTGAAGAAGAATCTATTCATGGGTTTTGTTAGCGCCAGTTGGCTAATTAACCAATTTCGAAGCTATCTACTCCTCATGTCATTTTACCATCAAATTGACCACCGCCGCCAACTTCTTAAGGTATTAGAATGTAGTTCTGTGTGCATATTTCCTGCCAATGTTTTAATTACTCATCAACAAGCGAAGGAACAGTGAGATGATGAAGATTATTTATTTTTCATTACTGAGAATTTCTTATTACTGTTGTTACTTTTGTTATTATTGTTATTGTTATTATTATATATTATTATTATTAAATAAACTTGTTAAATAAAATAAATCTATAATAATTATAAATTGAAAATATAATTTTAAAACTTTTATTCATTTAATATAAATAATATTATCGAATTTTAAATATCTTTAATTAAAATTATAATAATTTTAATAATTATCGATTTATTAATATTAAAACTTTATTATATATAAGATTTACTTGATGAATGATAGAAAATAAAAAACATGTTTAAGTGAGTCACGATCCTGACAATCTGATTGGTTTAAAATACCCTGATAAATAAATCTAAAAAAAACTTAATATAAGCCTTATAATCTTAAATAAATCTGATTTAAAACTTTTTTCAATTATAATTATTATTATTATTATTATTATTATTATTATTATTATTATTATTATTATTATTATTATTATTATTATTATTATTATTATTATTATTATTATTATTATTATTATTATTATTATTATTATTATTATAAATTGAATAAATAAAGTTAAATGATTTCAATAGAGTTAAAAAAAGTTTTAAGTCAGATTTGTTTAAGGTTATAAGATTTATATCAAACTTTTTGTTAGATTTATTTACCGGGGTATTTACCGGGATATTTTAGATCAATCAAATTATCAAGATCGTAATTTATTTAAATAAATGTCATGAAATCATTTTATAAAATGTTATAAAGTAACAATCAACCTGTCTTTATAAGTTTGGACCTTTTCAAAAAGCAAAACAACTTATATATAAATTTGTATAGTAATCGTTTTATATAGTCTTTTTATTTTTAACAGGTTTAGATATATAATCTAATTCTAATTATATAATGAAGTCTCCAGGAATATAGGCTTTTGTAGATTTCTTAAAGTTTTTAGAAGTATAGGCTTTTAAAGACTTTCGAAATAGATTAATATATAATCAGAATAGTTTTATAATTTAAAAGCTTTATATTTAATTTAGTTATCAATTAGTTTATTTATATTTCAATTGATCTAGTAATATATTTATCTTCGAATAAATAATCAATGATTATTAATCTTAACCTACAACTACCAATTATACGAATCCTGAGGCAGCCGCTGTATCAATCAGATTGTTATAATAAGTTTCTTATTTTCTATAATCTACACCGGGTATATTATAATATATTATATATGTAGTAAGGTTTTGATATCGGTAAACTGATAATAAAATATCAATTAATTAAAAAAATCATTGATTTTAAAGATTTTATTTATATAAAAACTATTAAATAATATTAAAAAATAATAAAAGTTTTGATATCTTTTTGATTATTATTTAAATATAATTATTTATTTATTATATAATTCTTATAAATACAATTTAATTTTTTAATATAAATTAATTTTCTTTTATTATAATTTAAATATAAAATATATAATAAAGTCACTTATAATTATTATTATTATTAAAATTTTTTTTTTTAAATTTGATGTTATTTACAATTTAGTTTTATTTAATATATTTTTAAATGATTAATATTTCCTTCTTAATTCTTAAACTTTGAATCTCCCACTGCAGGTGATCCTCGGCCTGAACCTTCTGCTGTCTTCGATTTGCCTGCATTGATGGATGATGCACCATCCTCCTCATAAAGATGGTGCTCCTCAATGTACTCGATAACTGGAGCGGGTAACAAATATTGCACGCTCATCTCTTTCCTCAAGAAAAGTCTAATCTTTGTGCTACTGATATCGTTTGTTACCAGCTGTTGAATGACGTAAATATTGCGCTTATATTGTTCAAGACTTGCAAGTGCGTCCTCAACATCCGTGCCAGTACGTTCGACGATGAAAGTGCCGTATTGTCCTAAGATATGTTGAAGATCCTCCTCACTCCAAACTCCCGGTATACTCATTGTTTCGATAAGATCAGCTCCGGCTAGTAAGGCAATGCGAACGGGCACTCGAGATCCATCTGGTCGTATAGCACCACCCAGAACTTTGTTTATCTCATGCTCGACATGGTCAAGAACAAGGGCAGTCGGCGTATATTCAGTTTGTAAGGCTTCCCATGGATCCACCATAAGCCAATTTGAAGATTGTACCGCCAACTCGCACATATTTATTCTGCGAACATTAGTCGATGGTGCAGATGCTCGGGAGATTTGGACTTACCGGTGTTCCGAACTCGCCAGGCCGGCTTTCTTGTAAAAATTCGATACAGGTGAAAAATATCCGGCAAGAAGTTCAAATTCCGTGTTAAACTTGCAGTAATCGGCGGCCATCTCCATCATTCGCAAGTGAAGGTAGGTTATAGGCGAAAAGCTTCCACAGGCTACCAATACTAGAGGAGTCCTCTCAGGATCATTTTGAGTGAGTCTTAGACGATTTGTTGGGAATGTATAGCTATCGAGAGTTTGCGCAGGAATAGCCTGCGCAGGAGTATTGGAAGTCATCTTTAGTTGGTAATTCGGAGGTTGTATTTTGCTGTGTCGACGTAAAATGGATTCGCGGAACGAACTCGAAAGGCTAAGTAAGGTGCGCGGTAGTTTTTGAACTTATCTAATCTAATCTAATCTAACCTTTTAAAAAGTTACGGGCATGTGACTGAGCGGATCAAAAAAAGGAACGTGCGAACCATCAAAACAAAATATTTCTTTTTATTAATATAGATTAAAGAGAAATAGAATAATTTGGAACTCAAAACTTGTTTATTTATAAATTAAATACTTGAATAAAATTAGATTTTGTGAACTGATCATCGAACGATGATTTTGAAACTGAATATCGAAATCGAGGCTAAAAGTGCTCGATATTTCAAATGATATTTTTGGGCTGGCCACCGAATAGGCTCGGACTACAATACGATACAACTAGCCCAACTCAACAAGTTTTGCGTATAATCCTTACTACATTAGTGGCCAAGGGCATCGGCACCAACCAGACCAGAATCTTTCCTCAACTTGCAAAAATTCCAGTGTTTCACATAAGCTCGAATGGCGCGTAAAGCCGTAGAAGAGTTAGGTTACCAGGCATGATTGAGGCAAGTAGAAAGCACAGAGTAAGATATGTATTGAAGACCTGCAAAGGCGTCTGAGCAGGCTAAAGTATAGTGTCATCGTTAGATCACCATTAATCATACAATGAGGAATACCTCGCCGCTATCTAATATGACCATATCTCATTTCCCGCCTCTGCCTCTACCCCTTCCCTTCCCACCACCTCTACCACGTCTTCCACCCCTCTTGTTACCTCGTGAATTGCCCTCGTCAAATCTTTCATACAACTTCTCCTCCCCAAATGCACTGTCTCCCATTCTCAGATAGCTGATGATTCCCTGATCATTAACTGCTAGGATAACATTCCTATATCCGTGTCTGATTGTGTGATACATTTTGTTCGGACCCTTCATGTTCTTTCCAGGTGGATCCCAAGGCGAGCTATCGAATAATGATACTACTTCTGGCAATGTAGGTACAAATGTTTCTCTCGCATCCACTACCGCTATGCGGAAATCGGGCGAACCAGGGTTAGTTTTTGCGAATGTAGGAATGCTACTGGGTTTCCAGATATGGAAACAGACGCGAAATGGGTGAGATGGAGGTTGGGAGGATAAATCTGGTGCTGGAGATGGCTTGTAGCGGGGTATTACGGCCATTTGCCGGTAGATAGAATCGTAAGATCTGTATAAACCTGGTTTGACTAATGGACCATATGGAGAATGTGTAATATCCTTTGCGAAAAGGTCGAAAAGCCAGGTAAACATACCCTTTGACTCTCTCGGTGTGGACCCGTGTTTAAAAGTTTTGGTGGAAATGTTTGGATCCCAATCTGGACCTCTCATGACAACATATCCATTTCTTTTCAGATTGGCATAGACATTATATCTTTCCAAACTAATCTTTCCTCTTTCACCATCCAAACCAATAAGCATAGCATATGCAGCTTGTAAACTCATTGGTGCACCCTCGTCATCATTTTCTCCATCCACAATTTTTTCACTTTCTCCGTCCTCAACTCCATTGTAAGAAGATTTATTGGGCCACCATAAATCCAAATTACCCCGCTCAACCAAATATAATGCCTCCTCCGGCAACAACCACAAACTACTCTTGTGTTTCCCTTCATTTGCCCTCCCAATTGTCCTGAAATGTGGTCCTCTTGGTCCCTCCACCACCACAACGTGATCTGCCTCTAGACCTTTCCTCCACTCCTCTCCTACCAGTTCATCTCTCTCCAGTCCTTCTCCCACACCTTCCCCGTAGTAAAAAGCTCTTACATGTGCTTTTGGTAGATGAAATCTTGTATAATCCAATGCATCATGCATTGCTTGCCTCGATGCAGCTAATACACCATCTTGTTGTTTTGTACCGTGAGGTTCAAAATCTTTCTCTCCACGTTTAGGAAGTGAACCTGTCTTTGAATTGAGGGATGCAAGAAGGCGGAAATCTTGGGTCTCGTCGCCTTCTTCGTTGTCATCATTTATTTGGCTGTGAAGTGAATTTATGGGCACATCCTCATCCATATCTGCCAATTTGTAGAATCAGATTCTTCTTGCTGTGGTTTGCAATACGAAGTGCTGGTGAAATGATATCGTCGTAGGTAAATTTTATTTTCAGCCTTGCAGAAAGGGCTTGATCAATTCCGCCGTTAGTGGTCTATGCACAAAGAGGCTACAGATATCGAATAAACTACAAATGCATACCAAAAATCAACCTTTTTAAAATTGAATTAAAATTTCGATTTATGATATTTTTTATTGAAATTTGAAAACAAGAATAATTAATTATTAAAAAATGATATTTTGAAAACTAATCTAAAAGTGAAATGATTTTAGAAGTAAAAAATATAATCTTATTTTTGTTTATTATATTTAAAAAAAATAAAAAAATATTAACTTATAAACTTTTCAATTTTGATATTAATAATGAGGTTTTTAAAATATAAAACAGTTTTATACTTTTTATTTTATATTTCAAATTTGAGATATTTTTCTTAAAGATTTGAATTTTAATAAACTTTTAAAAATATTGATTTTTGATATGATTTTGTAGTTTATTTATAGACCGGATCGTACAGTCCGTGCACCTATTGGTGGGGTTTTTGAATTGATTCAATTCTGTGAGCTTTATAAATCAAATAAAAACTTTGATAATCATCAACCAGTAACTGAGGTGGTTTGGCCGAGTGGTTAAGGCGTTGTGTTTAGGTCCTTCGAAAGAAGATCCGAATCCCGCAATTCTAACGAGCGTGTAAGTTATTTCTACTCCAAAATTAATTGTACAAATCGTCTAATAAATTGTCTTCTAGGGGTTCGAATCCCACAGCCATCAACAGTATAATATATTTTTGTCTCTTTTGTCTGTCTTAGTACATAAATTGAGCGAGGTAAACTTATTTTTAATATTGAAAACTAAAAAAATCTCATTTAAAAATAATAATAATAATAATTATTATTATTTTAAATTGAAAAAGATAAATTAAATGAATAAAATTCAATGATTTCAATAGAATTGAAAAAGTTCCAAGTTAGATTTATCTAAGATTATAAAAGTTATATTAAGGTTTTTATTAGATTATTTACCGGGGTATTTTAGATCAATCAGATTATCAAGATTGTAATTTATTTAAATAAGTTTCTCATTTTTTATAATTTACTTTAGATAAATTATAGTATATTATATATATAATAAAATTTTAATATCAATAAATCAACAATTATTCAATCGAATTATATAAAATTTATACAGATTTTAAAATATATATAAATGAATAATAATATCAAATTTTATAAAATTTTATTAAAGATTCAAAAAATTATTATATTTTTAATTTTGTTTATATATTTTTTTAAAATCTCGCCGAGTATAGATATATAATATTTATATATTTTAAACAAATTAAGATATATTATAAAAGTGATAGGTCGAGATATATACATCCTGATAATATATTGTAAAGAGGGAATTGAAAGAGAAAATTAAATTAGATTATATTATAATATATTACTTATAAAGAAAATAGATTTCGTAATGATTTTAAGATTGATACTATATAGATTCAATGTTATAAAATCATTTTATAGAATGTTACAAAGTAATAATCAATCTGTCTTTATGAATTTGAATCTTTTCAAAAAGCAAAACAATTTGTATACAAATTTGTATAACAATTACTTTATATAATCTCTTTATTTTCAATAAGTTCAGATATATAATCTGATCTTAATTATATAATAAAGTCTTCAAAAGTGTAGGTTCTTATAGATTCCTTAAAGTTTTCAAAAGTGTAGACTTTTGAAAGCTTTCGAAATAGATTAGTATATAATCAGAATAGTTTTATAATTTAGGAGTTTTGTATTCAATTTAATTATCAATTAGTTTATTTATATTCCAATTGATCTAATAATATATTTATCTTCGAATGAATAACCAATGATTATTAGCTTTAATCTACAATTACCAATCATATAAATCCTGAGACAGTCGCTGTATCAATCAGATCGTTATATTCAAATGTATATATATAAAAGGTTGATTATTCTGAAAAGAAAAAACAAAAGCTCTTTTTTTATATCTAACTACAAAAGGGTATATAATTGACTTATTAAAAACCTTTATATATTTGACTTATAATTCCAACTTTCTTACAATACTTTAATATAATCTCAAAGATAATAAAGAATTTGAGAGTAATTATTTTAAAGATACTATTAAACTAGATTAAGTATTTTCTTTTATTTAATTGAGTAAATTAAAAGATAATGAGATGAAATAATATAATGAAAAAATAATTCAAAAAATTAAAAATTAAAGATGAGATTATGATCATTGTTATATTCAAAATAATAATATATTAGACATTTCGACGACGCATCATTTAATATGATCAAGAAGGTATCAAACATTTTTATTTCACTGCTTGGAATTTGTACAATCCCTAAGCTTCCAAAAAGCGGGAGTTCCTGACAGATACTGCATCTCTTGATTCAATCACCATAATTAATGACGGGAACAAACTCCTGAAACCAGATCCAAGACCGGGTCAAACCATTCAAACTACAGCTGGAAGTAAATCAAAGACCGCTTCATTATCATTAATAAGTTGTATAAAAGAGAGTACTAAGGTTAATAACTAACACCGATATGCGTTTGATAAGTGATATTTTAAATATTTAATAGATACTATAAAAAGATGATATATAAAAATATATTATTCGTCAATTTCTTTATAATATATTATTTCCAAATTCTAATCTTTTAATATCTTATAATATATATAAAAACAACAATATAAATAAAGTAAAAGAAATCAACATCTTCCTATAAACAATCTTAATAATAACCAACACCATCCCCAAACCCCAACCCTCATTCCTTCCACTCATACCTATCCAACCCGTCATCCACCTTCTCACCCCAGGTAACCAACCCCCCAAACAAAGTCGCCACCCTCGTCCACGACAAAACCCCCAAAACCCCATGTAAAACCGTAATCCCCCATTCCGTCTGCGGACTAACAATTCCCGGAACCCCAGGCGGAAGTTTCTGTACATTCTCCATAAACGGTCTCATGATCTCCTCATACTTTTTCAATCCTTCTTCCCAATTCCCGTCGCATGCTCCCAATTCTCCTGCGAGATGATATGCTCCTAGGATAGCTGAACTAGTTCCCATTCCGGACAGAGGAGAGGGACAATATCCCGCATCTCCTACTAGAGCGATTTTACCTTTGTAGAATTGAGGGGGATTTATTTGTGCGATTTCTTGCATGTAGTAATCTGAAGCTTTATCCATTTCATCTAGAACTCTCTCGATTTCCCATCCCATACCACTCATTTCTTCTCTCCACGCACGTTTTTGTTCCTCGGGTGTCATTTTCAGATAATTGACTAATTTGCAGGTTTTGTTTGGGTCGGTGATACTGAGATATATTCTTGTAGTTGTACCATGGTGAATATTATCCGGACGCATTAATACCATACGACCACGACTGGCGTTATACCATTTCCCCCATCCATCGTCTTGGGATTGCTTAGGCATGGTAAAGTATGTTGCATATTGATTCAGTGATTTCATACCGTCATTTGGGAGGGGAATAGCAAGACGTCTAGTTTTTGAACGTAATCCATCGGCTCCGACGACCAAATCAAACATTCTCTGTTTTCCTTTTGCAAAAGTAACAAGAACAGCTTCATCCATCTCTTCAAGCCCAGTAATATAATCATCCCAAATATACTCACATGTCTCCTTGGTACTTTCATAAAAGACCTCTGAAAGATCCCCTCGTAATATCTCAATATCACTCGTAAACGAATTCCCATTTGGATCCATGGGAAAGGAGGCTTTAGGGTAACCAGTCTTGTCTACAAATTGTAGACCTAGTTCGTGGGTTACCTTTGAGCGAATGGCAGAATCGAGTCCCATCCGAGCTACAACACCGCGGGCAGGACCTCGAATGTCAATTCCTTGGCCGGCAGAACGTAAGAAGGGTGATCGTTCGATGATTGTGGTTCCTATGGAGGCGCGATGGAGCCAGTAGGCTAGGGCAGGACCGGCGATACTGGAGCCCGAGATTAGAATATGAGGTTTTCGGGTTGAGGTGGAGGTTTTGCTGAACATTTTGGAGGGATTGAAAGAATTCGTGGTGCGAGTGAAGGGAGGGAACGGCGGGGGTTGATTCGTGGATAGTGGAAACCTGGGTTTGATCGATTTGAGAGTTGAGTGTATGGAACGATATGATTGATAGTCAATGGTTTTTACAAACTCCAATGATTGAGCCTTATAAATTCGCCACCAACCAGTATATCAATGGTCAACAAAAAGGTAAATCTCGACTACGTTGTACTGATGTATGGACGGCAAGTTTTGTTACACGTATGAAAATGGTGATATCATAGACTCAGCGGAAATCTGATAGATCAATTTAGAAACGAGAGTAGCTAAAGTAAAGTATGTAGAAACTTGAAATAATGTGTGAAACAAAACTAAGGAAGGGGACTTCGCGAATGATATATAAACAGCTCTACAGAAGGAGCAGGGCCACAAAAGCTTTATATCCGAACCGACTACTGTAGAACTTGGAATATCTGGTTAGACTTTCCTGCACAGCAACGATCCATTCCATTGGGATCGAAAACAACGAGACAATCTACTATAATTATCTCGATGAGAAACTATTCTTCTCAAGCAGTATTGCTGCATGCCAATGTATGAGGCGGGTGGTACCCTAGCCTCGGTGAATACCATCGGCCGAGAAGGACGATTTAAAGTCCGTTTAATCCGAATAGATAAAAAATATCCAGACCGACAGAAAGGCTAATATATTAATCCCTCCTCTATGTTTCACTTAATAAAGAGCTGACTTGTTTACTCAACATTCTAATTGGTTTCGGGATATATACACCATTAAAGTGTCGTCGGAAGGTAGGGTTTACCGGAGTTAAGTTACCTAATAATAACGGGGACTTCATGAGGGGGGCTGCAGGGAAGAGAGTGATGAGTGGTTTATACAATAGCTAACGAGGCGAGATACTATATTAACTCATACAACACTAAGCCTATTTCGAAAAATGATCGCCCGTGGGTTAGGGTTCGGAATCTTCAAGTTCCGATGCTTTTTCAATCTCTTTTTTATTATTACAACTTTTAAAATTATTATATTATCAATATAACAATCTGATCGAGACAGCGGCTGCCTCGAGGTTTTATATAATTAATAATTGTAAATTAATATTAATAATCATTGATTATTTATTCAAAGATGAATATATTACTAAATCAATTGGAATATAAATAAACTAATTAATAATTAAATATTACGATTCATGGTTTTGATTATAATAGTATTATTGATGTTAGTGATTTATATATCGATTATAAAAAGAATATGATTTAATCATTGTTTTCGAGGATTCTAATTATCTAAATCTAAGATCCTAGGATTTCTAAAATAAATATTCTAAGTAATTATAATAGAATAAAATAAATATTCTATCTAATTAATTATAATAAAACTATTAATTTAAAGATTATTATATTCTAAAACTATAATTTCTAAAAAAAAAGCTTCTGGAATAAATATTCTAGGAAAAGAAAGGCTTTAGGATATAAAAAACTTCAGAATCAATTATATAATATATTAGTTTTATTAACTAGTTAGTAAAGCTAGTATTATAAAAATATTAATTATATTAATATAACGATCTGGTTGAGGCAGCGGCTGCCTCAGGAATTCGTCTGGTTGGTAGTTGTAGGTTAAGGCTAATAATTATTGATTATTCATTCGAAGGTGAATATATTACTAGATCAATTGGAATGTAGGTAAACTAATTGATAATTAAGTTGAGTATAAAGCTTTTAAACTATGAAATTATTTTGATTATATATTAATGAATATAAAAAAGCTTTGTGAAGCTTTAAAACTTCAAAAAGCTTTTGGAGCTTTAAAAGCTTTCGAAGTTCCTAGAACTTTTTATTATATAATTAAAATCAGATTATATATCCGAGTTTGCTAAAAGTGGGGAGATTATATAAGGTGATTATTATACAAATTTATATACAAATTGCTTTACTTTTCGATAAGGTTTAAGCTTATATAAATACATTGATTGTTATCCCTTAATATATCCTTATTTAAATTGTAAATCGTAATATTATCTTTTTTTTAATTAAATATTATTCTAATCGTTTATAACCCTTCAGATTTCATTTAATAATTAGTATTTTTTTTTCTCTTATATTTTATTTATTTTTCTTTTTTTGTTATAAATAATTTTGATTTCTTTAATAGTTTAATTTGAAGAAAGAAAAAGGAATATATATATTTAATTATAATTATCGATTTTATTAATATTGAAATGATTCTTTGTTTTTATTATTGATAAAAGAATCATTGTTGTATTAAGAATTTCTTTAATAAATATTATTTATATTATTTGGAATGTATATGAAATTCTGTTTTATATGATATTGAGTTTTGTTTGAAAGATAATTGGAATTGTGAAATTCCTTGAAAATATAATTGAGAGAGTTTTGATTGATAAATTGATAAATTGGATATTGAAATCGTTAAATCTTCTATTAAAATTATTTGTTTTATTAAATAGAAGATATAATTCAAAGAACAATATAATAAGATATTATATTATAGATTCAAATACCTTGATAAACTTGATACTTTTAAAGAAAAGAAATGAAAAGAAAAGAATAAAGAAATTTCTACAATTCTTTTGTTATCTTTTGATCGATTTGATCAATTTGATTAATTTGATTGATTTGATCAATTTGATTAATTTGATGAATTTGATCAATTTAGTTAATTAATTCCTAATCAATTTGATCAATTACTAATTGATTTTATTAATTTCAACGAAATTCTTATAAACGAATTCGATTCTTTTGATTTCTTTTTATAGAAAACGATAAATTCTTCTTTCTTTTGAATAAATCCAGATTCTATTGATGAAATTTTTGAAATCTTTTTAGATATTTAATTTCTTTCTTGAATTCCTATATATTTTCGGAATTAAAGTAATCTTTTTATTTCATCAAATATTTGATTTTGTTTTTAATATATTTATAATTTAGTATTTTCTTTATTTTGTATTCAATATTTTGGTTTGTAGATATGATTTCTATTTTAGAAGTTTTAAATACTTCTAAAAATATTAATTCGAATAAGGATATATAGAATATTAGATATATATTTATACTTTTTGATAATATTAATTTATAATTCAAAAATCCTTTAACTTTCTTGATTTTGAATAATTCGAGTTTTTTGTAATCCAATTTTGTATTAGGTTTTTTTGTTTTAATATTTTTTCGAAGTAAATAGATTTTATCTTTCTTTTTTAATATTGATTTCTAATTATATTTCCGATTATAATAATATACATTTCTTTCAGTAACGAATTTCAACTTTGTTATTATTTCTTTATAAACTTTTTTGAATCTTTTTATTTGTATTATTACAAATTGATTCTTTACTTTTATAATCTCTAATTTATAATATACAATCAATTTGTATTTATAATTAGTATAATTTGGAATAATTTATATTATTTTCGATACTGAATTATTATATACAAATTATATTAAAAATAAAAGTTCTATTTAATTATTTTGTTGATAATTTATATAATATCGAAAATAAGCTTCAATAATTTGATTCATTTTCTTATTTTCTTTATTGATTTATAAATAGAATATAATAAATATTTTTCTCTTTTTTCTTAATAATATTATTAAAACAATTCAAAATTTCGATATAAAAAGTTTATCTTTATCAAAGAATATTTCCTTTGATAATTTATATATTATAACAATCTCTTTCAAAAATATTAAGATTAATATTTCTGTAATTAATATTATTTAATATAATATAAATATTAAATACTTCGTTAATCTATTCATTATAATAAAGAAATAATCATATATTACTTTTATTATTAGATCTTTAGATTTTGATAATGAATTTATAAAATCTTATAATATTGATTTCTATAATATAAATAATATTTCAATAATATTCATCTATTTATAAAGAGTATAACAAAAAGCTTTATTCTTAATACAAATATTATATTCAATGATTATTTTATTAACTATATTCTGGAATTCTAGATTTCAATATTGCTTTTTGATTTTTAAATATATTCTTTACATTTCTTGATATTTATAAACTAACAATATATATTGTTCTGTAATATACTCAAAAATAATACTATTTGATAATCATATTTTGTTTTTTATTCGAAATAATCCTTTAACAATTATTAATGATTCTGATTATTTGATATCTTTTTTATTTTATTATACTTTCATAAATTTATCTTTTCAAATCTTTATTGATTTATTTTCTATAATAGCAATTTCTGTTAGATTAAAAATAAAATCTTTATTTGATAAAGATTTTAAAATTGTTATTTCCTGATAAGTTTTATTATTTTTATAATCTGATAATTTATTTAAAACATCTACTTTTATATTGTCTTTTCCCTTGATATATTTGATTATCAGATCAAATCCTATCAGTTCTTCAATTTATCTAATCAATTTATAATTATCTAAAATTTTAATAATAATAAAGATTCAAAGATTTATATAATTAATATAAATAATTATTGGGAATTTAGCTTTTTAAAAGTAGATCCTTTAATATTTTAATGTTTTTATAATAATTATAAATTCCTTTTTATAAATATTATAATTTTGTTTTATTTTATCTATTTTGTTTAAATAATAAATAATAAAATATAATTTTCTATTATTATCTTTTTACAAATGGATTTTTATTATATAAATATCAAAAATATTTATTTCGATAATACTTTCTCAATCATTATAATAATTATAGAAAATGGATTCCTTTATAAATTTGTTCTTGATTTCCTAGAAAACTTATTTCATTTTTTTATTCTATATAAAAATTATTCTTTTTTTGATTATTTCGATAAAAGATTCCATTATTTTCGAGAAATCTTTTATAAATATTCAATAGAAATTGACAAATTCTAGTATAAATTGTATATCCTTGATATTTCTAGTATAACGATTTGATTGAGGCAGCGGCTGCCTCAGGGTTTCGTCTGATTGGTAGTTGTGGGTTAAAACTAATAATTATTAGTTATTCATTCGAAAATGAATATGTTATTAGATCAATTGGAATATAGTGTGAGAAAGTTGGAATTATAGACCAAATACATAAAGGTTTTAGCTAGTCAATCACATGACCTTTTGTAGTTAGATATAAAAGAAGAGTCTTTTATTTTTTCTTTTTACAATAATTAATCTTCTATATATATATATTTGAACCTATATAACATCAATCTCAAAACTATTATAAATCCTGTTTTATTTATAAATAATATATTATAATGTAATCTAATTCAGCTTTCTTTTCTAATTCTCTTTTTATAATGTATTATCGAGATGTATATATTTCGATCTATCATTTTTACAATGGTGATCTATATAGGGATATCGAGTTATATTGTTTACAAAATATACAAAACCAATTTGTAAGGATATTATATTGAAAAAGAAAGTAGAATTAATTGTTTGTTAATAAAGGGATGGAATAGATTTTGAAAAGATGAATTTTT